AATTACACTAAAACTAAAATATTATCAACATGAAACTTTGTTAATTTTAGCATTTTGAACTTTGCTGGAACATAACTCTAAAACTATAAGAGATATCAACATGAAACATTGTAGGTAGATAGATCTCATTGAATAGAAGTGCAGTGCAAAAGTACCATAACTCTGTTAAGCCTCATTTTTAGCTCGACTTTTCTATGAAAAGGGGAGCTATCCTACTCGCCCCGGCGTCGGCGTCGGCGTTGGCGTCACACCTTGGTTAAGTTTTTCGTACCACCCCACTTTATTTCAGAAGTATTACAAGTATGGCTTTGAAACTTACCATATACTTGTTCACCATCATAACCTCCATCTACAGACAAGAGTACATAACTCTGTCAAGGTTTTTGACAGAATTATGGCCCTTTTTTGACTTAGAAAGTGTATTGAGCTTGGTTAAGTTTTTTTGTACCACCTCACTTTATTTCAAAACCATTGGAGGTATTGCTTTGAAACTGACCATACTTGTTTACCATCACGACCTTCATCAACAGACAAGAGGACATAACTCTGTCAAGGTTTTTGACAGAATTATGCCCCTTTTTGACTTAGAAAATACATTGAATATGGGTAAAATCCACTTATTGCCTTAACCCTTTGAGATATTGCTTTGAAACTTTTAATGCTATTTCACATCATTACCCCATCTGTACGCAAGAGAAGGTAACTCTGTCAAGGATTTGTTTTAAAAATTAAGGCCTTTTATCGACTTAGAATCTTGGTTAAGTTTTTAGTACCAGTCCACTTTTTGACTGAACTGTTTGAGATATTAATTTGAAAGTTGGAATACTTGTTTACAATCATGATTCCCAAACATGTCCAGGAGAAGGTAATTCTGTCAAAGATTTTATTTGAATTATGGCCCTTAACTGTCAATGTTTTGACTTAAACATTTCAAACTTTGCTGCAGTGTTCAAGGGTATCACACAATTCAGTAAAATAATTCTTCACTAAATATCTTAATGCTCATGGCCATTGTTCACTTTAAAAATACAGAGATTCTTGTATTGCCTTTTACTGCAAAAACTTTTTTTATTGGCAAGCAATAAAAAAGTCGAGCGCGCTGTCTTACGGACAGCTCTTGTTTAATTATCTCCCCTTTTAGAAAAATCTTGTCCAGGACATAGCTGTAAAACTATAAGTGATATCAACGTGAAACTTTGAAAGTAGATATATCTCAATCAGTAGATGTGCAGTGCACAAGAATCATAACTCTGCCTTGCCTAATTTTGGAGTTATTGCCCTTTGTTTATTTTTACTTTTTGAACTTTGTCTTGGAAATTACTCTAAAACTACAAGAAATATCAACATGAAACTTTGAAGGTATTGTAGATCTAAATGAAAAGATGAACAGTGCACAAGAACTTGAACTCCGCCATGCCAAATTTTGTAATTATTGCCCTTTATTCATTTTTACATTTTGAACTTTGTCCGGAACATAACTTGGAAACCATAAGAGGTATCAACAAGACACTTTGTAGGTTGATAGCTCCCATTGATTAGAAGTGCAGTGCAAAGAACAGTAACTCTGCCTTGCCTGATTTTGATATTATTGCACTTTGATCTTTTTCCAGGGACATAACTCTGAAACTACAAGGTGTACTTTCCTGTGTCCAAAACCTATTCGGGGAGCATCACCCGGCTCAAACTGGGCTCTTTTTTAAAAGGTCATAACTTTATTTACAGATTTGATTCATACTTGGACAAAAGAATACATATCAAAAACCACATGATTAATAATATGACATGGACCTTTATTTGACAAGGTCAAGTCATTGAAATTTGCTTAACTTGTCATATCTTTTGCTATTTTCTTACAAAATTTGATTCGTACTTGGCCAAAAGAACGCATATGCCAAAACACACATGTGAATACAAACATCACGTGATATCCTGTGAACGTTTAAAAAGTTTACATTTGTTCCCTTTATTTTACAGTGTGGCCATACCCACGTGACATTGACGTCATTTTCGGCATCATTTCCAAGACAAATATTGCTCGATTCGGACAAGAAAATAGTCATAAATATTTTATTTTTGTACCAATTTCTTTAGGATATGCACCAGTCTACGGGGAAAAATATAAGCTTTCCACAGAATATTGGATAATCGTCAGTTTATAAGCCATTTTATCAAACACTTTGCATAACCTTGAAAGTTGCTTGTATTAGAGCGGGCTTCAGTTGCAAGCTATTTCGTTTTCTGGCGTTATCTGGTCTACGCCATGAATAAAGTCAGGTTTACATCAACCGGGAGTACGGAAGGCAAAACTCTACCTAAATATGTTCATATTTGTATTATGAATGACATAAATCTTACATTTTTCTTCAATTGTCAATTCTGGCACCAATTCCAAGTCGAAAAAAAGGACTACAGTTTAAAGCAGATTTTAGAATCCGTTGCAAATGCTAAGCAACATGCCTACCGTTCTCTTTCTACAATTTAGGTTATCATTGTTGATCTTTCACAGAGAGATTGTGAAAAAACTGATTGTTCCTTAAAGCAATAACACTTATACTTGTATCGCAATAGTGCACGTCAAATCACTTAGATTTAGTCCTGTCGGAAAATAATATTTTGGTTTCGTTTTGAAGATGTTTTAAGTATTGCTCATCTTATCCTATGTAGTAAAATGTGTTTCATTCTATTTCACAATGGCGAAATTGATAAGAAATATATGTGCTCTCAGTAAGAGAAAGAGTTAAAATAAAAAAACACGTTTGTATGCTAATGAAAGGGTTACACTTTAACGCGAGTGTTGTAAAGCTAAAGGTATTTTTTCACTTTATTTTTGTCAAGAGTTACTGACAAACACTGACACTATTGAATGTGACAAATAGGTTTTTCTGTCCTCAAAAGAGAGACTTTTAAAGGTTTATATTTTTTCTGGAATTGTATAATAAATTTCTATAGAGTTTGATAAACGAAATCACAATTTGAACTTGGAACTTTGCCGTGTAAATCTGATAGTATTGTTACTTAGTTGCATTACTTATGATTCTCTATTTATCAAAAATACCCAAAATAGCCATGAATAAGAACGAGAATGGACGCCATGTGGAGTAAACAAAGTAGAAAATAGTAAACAGATAAATGATTTTACAAACCAATAGCCATCGATCACAGTCAAATTTCTTGAAAACAAAACATTCAAAAAGACGGAAATAACAATGATTATCAATAATTATATAAATATTTACATTAACATCTGTAATAGCAACATCGGCAAGATCTAAGACTAGGGTCCATATGACACTGATGCGTCCATTGAATAATTGACAGCTAACAATTGCGATTACATTTGAAGAGTATATTCAAATTTTATCCTTCAACTGTCAAATGACTTACTGCTTTATTTACATATCAGATAATTCACTTATTTAGTATATGCGTCATGTTTATCTTGTGTTAGATTTTAATGTGTGGTCCGTTTTTAAATCGTAAAATGCTACAAAAAGCCAGTTGAGGACATCTGCAGGTCATGCCGCGTGTAATAATCCATGCATTTACAGCCAATGACCACATCGATAAGAAATAGTCCCAAATAGCCCTATCGTTTTTATTCAGTTGAAAGAGACATTATTGTTAAAAAGGTTCTACTCGATTTAAATGTTTTCAAACCATAAATATTCCGTTCCCTTCCTCTCTTTACAATGTATATTGGTGAGCTCTCTGATAAAGCTGAGTTGACTGATATAATTAACTAAATTTGTCAGATATGCAGTTTATCAACAGAAATAGCATTATTCCTTCCTAGTTGTGTGCCGACTCTATAGATGCCGAGACAAATCCTCTAACGTTAGATGTCCACAATTTTAATGGGTTGAAGGAAGGGAATATAACAACATTAAACCTATAGTTGGCGCGATGTATTTGGCAATCACTAAGCAATTGAAGGCTGTATTTTTTTACTGTGCAAATCTTAGCCTCAGACTACGTATTTTTAGGGGAAAAACAAACAACAAACCAATTGTTGCATGTATTTTGATTAAGTTTTAAGTAATGAAAATAAAAAGGAAAACAGGAAAATAAAACATTGCAATTTTCTTCGAAAGAATAAAATATAATATGCACCGAGTTCCCTTTCATGATTCCGTGACTATTTCATGACGTCAATGCTAAATTATTTGTATATATTCCACAAAATTATAAATTAAAATGCTTTATAGAGCAAAATCATCAAAAATTCTCCTTGATATCGCGCCGTTTTGTCTCTATTTCTCACGGTTGACTAATCTCAAATTAATTGCATATCTTGGAATAAGTGTATCTTTATACCAAGTGTTTCAATAAAATCCTTCACTGTGTAAGCATGTATGGTGGCTGATTTACGCCTCGTATTTTCTTCTTTTTTTCGCCCCGTTGTAGTACCATCACATTCTCAAGGCGAACAGTAAAATACGACAAAAGTAGAAAGATAATACGACACATACAATATGTCGTGTTTTTGCATTGCATCTGCCGTGATTTGCCATTTTTTTGCGACTTTGTCGTGTTTTCGCATTGCTAGACTTGGCTTTTTCGCATTGCTACATTTGTGCATTTTCGAGATCCGATTGTATAAGTGCATGGGCACATCATTAGCAACAGAAAGAGCTTACAAAATGTGATGACCTAACTCTCAATAAAATATTTATATTTATAAATTTATTCGAACCAATGTAGTTTGACGAATTATCAACTTAGATTTGACATTATACGTACTTTTACATACAGCACATGTAAATTTTAATTTTAAAATGCGAAAAGGTCCAGTAAAAAAATGAAGTGCCAAAACGAAAAACGGAAAAAACAAACAATACAAAAAGCTCAATCGAAAAATATGTAATAAAATAAAGCAAAAACGGAAAAATAAAAAATACAAATTTCTAAAACATGAAAAGGGAAGGGTTTAAATTTTTTGTGAAAGTGTTTTTTCCCCCGGGAATGCAAAAATTTAAATCAAAAACTTTGTCGCATTTGTATTTTCTCATTTTAGTGGCGAAAAAAGTAAAAATACGACATTGCGAAAGTCAGCCTCCATACATATCTGGATGAAGAATATTTATGTTCTTGATATTGCCTCAAACTATTTCAGACTACATAGCATCATCTTTATTTCATTATTAATTGTTATAACTATTCTATTCTACTCCCGCCGTTAATCGTTTTTATTCTCAACCACATCCTGGTGCACTTCTGTTGTGATTCTTAGAGAGAGGAGAAAATCCGCCAGAAAATCTTGATAAACGCACAAAACTAACCAGGCCGGGGCATAAACTAGCGTTATTAGACCCATTAAGTTTAGGGGATAATGACTGTAATCCCAAGAGCAAGCGTCAAATTGTCTTAGAACAAGCCCGAACATGAATTCCCATGTGTATAGTATGCATAGATAAATCGGAAGTCTAAAGTACCACTGTACACCGTGTTGTAGATATATGTACACATATAATCTCTCCACAACGAAACTACAACTTCCATAGATAAGAAATGAGAACAACGTGCTGTAGCCCTTTAGCTGAGAGTTCCCCTGAGGCTCGAACAGTAGGTCAAATATTGCAGTGAAAACAATTTCATCCAGAAATCCTTGCATCCCATAAACGTAGAAACGAAGCCAAGCCGGAAGTGGCTTCGACACTGTGCTAACTTTCTTCTTCATCGCTGAAAAATTTTGACACTTTTTTTTAAATAACAGAATTGTATAAAGCGAACTATTACAATCTCTAATAACTAGCTTATTGAAATAACATATTGTTTTGTGCTTTGAGATTTTATACTAAAAAATCCCACTCATTTCCAACATCAGTTTAAAATGCAAAAATGGCACACTGTAAAAGACTTAATGTTTTATATTGAATGTACTAACTGTACACACTGTTAGTGCAATTCTTGATCCCCCGAGGTAGGCAATATGGTATTATACTATAAAGTACGGAATACCGTTAGAGCTATTGCTTGAGAGTGTGCTAGTCTGAAAAGCGATACTCAACAGTACGATAATTAACACGAAAATGCTATCATAATTACTTTTATTCAGCATTTTCGCTATAAAATTGTATTTATTTATAAATATTTTTCAAAACACACATCCTTACCATATGTAATAAAAACCGAAACGGTCATAAAGTATTAATTTAAATTAATTTAAAATTAATTAAAATATATGTGAAATAAAAAAAATTATTTGATTTGTTAAATGCCGCAAGACATGTGATTTAATTCTTACATGAATGTCAAACAAAGAATGAATTTTCTTCAATTCTAGCCAAGAAGATAATAACGAAAGAACGTCCACGTGATAAAATACAGCGCGACAATATGATAATACGATGACGCGACAGCATGATGATAAGTCAACACGGCAGTACTATTATACGACAAAACGACACTGCGATAATTCGTCAACGAGACCGTAAGATAATACGACAATGAGATAATACGACAACGCACAGGTACGATAAAACGCTAATGCAATGGTTCGATAACGGAAACACGACACTATTGCATTATTATTATCGTAAAATCGTACTGACTGGTTTCCGTCATCGTACGGTCGTATTATCGTTCTAGTACAGTCTTTTTCATCATTATTGTACTGTCGCGATTTCGTACTTTCATAATCGAACTGTGATCAGTTTTGCATTTTAGAACAACACACTCTTTGGCGATGGCCCAAACAGTATTCCGTAACTATTGTTAAAGACTACACGAATAACCGTTATGTGTTGCCACAATAAAACATTTATTTCAATATAATTTATTAAGTTCTATACGAATATGACAGTGCATGCAATATCATAGTAAAAGATGTTAATTTATTTTTTAATTATTAAATATATCACGGTTAACTTACAAAGTCATGACCCAAAGAAGGTTTACTCTTTCTTAAAAAAAGGATTTGTGAATGGGTCATGTTTGCCAAAAAGAAGTTCTTTATTAGGACATACCTATACAAACGATTCGATTAACAATAAAGAATTAACAAGGTTTAAGTTTCATTAGTTTTAGAACTGTGAAAATCTTAAATCCACCGGCGGAAGTGGTTTTTACAAGAATACAAAAAGAGCTTAAGAAAATCATGCGCTTATTTAAACCATATATAAGAAAGAGTAAAAACTTTATACATACTTTCAAATTAGGATTCCTTTGATCTCAAAATATACCCTGTTAACCTTGTAGTCGATCGATCAACAATGTATAGTAAAACCAATTGCTTAATTCAATTCAAAAGAATGATTCCCAAATGGGACTTCTATTATACTAATCAAGCTTTCCGATGATCAAAATAAAATTAATAAAAATCGAGTGAAGTCTTTAATACGTAGATATAATTATACACAGTCGTTCTTAAAGCACTTCAAAATAGTTTGTATAGTATACATTTTTTTGGTAATTATAGCCAATCATTAATGCACTGGGAATATCCAATATCCAATTTTTCTGTGTATACATGTACGTATATGATACACCTTGTAAATCGACATGTATATTTACTTAATGTCGAGACTTTAAAGCGCGACTATTATTTGACCTGTGCTATGCAAACACAACGGCAATCTTTTGATCAATTTGTGACAAGTGAAAGTTTAAAATAAATTCAGATTTCTTCTCTCAAATAAAAAAAGTATCAGTCCAACTCTTAATCCTAAAAAGACAACAATATTATGCATGCATGCATGGTATAAGATAAATTTACTAGAACATGGGTTTGAAAGAAAGTATGTATTCAAGTTTTTACATGTACTGTAGCATATCAATACGTTTTAATAATTAATTAATACATATTGAAAGCCAATGGTCTATGCCTGGTTTATGTTATATCGGGTTTATTGCCAACGTTGTTACGGTTTTTGTTGTAAAGATGTTTTTACCGTGTCATTCAAAGCTAATTCTGTATAATCCGTTATTTTTTTTTATCTGTCTATGACGTAAACAATTCGTATCGAAACCTTCCTTTATTTGCAACATTCAACCTTTTTGCACCACCATACGAAAATTCATACATTTTGTGTTTTCGTCCTTTCACAATTTCGTCCCACCACAAGGGAAACAATAATTTGTCATGTAATGGCGCGAAAGTGTGACAGGTCAAAAACGCGACGTGAACTTACGAAAACATTTTACGTCAAAACATCTGCCGTTTCTTCCCGAATTCGTGGTTGCCAGGCAAAAGTAGGGGGGGGGGAGAGACACAGTTTCAACTCCCGAAACCATTCTATGACAATACATTTATTTGTTTGCTAGGAAAATATGAATTTTGGCCTACTTTCACTTTGGACAGACGTGCAGACTTAGTGAAACAAACATGGCTGACAAAGCGGAATCACATTAAGTAACATTATTACGTGGTACAAGAACGCTTTTTCACATTAGCATTAAATAATATAAAATAAAACCTTTCAGTTGATTGTGATAACTCTTCTTAATTACATTAACATCCAAACAATTCAAACAATAATAAGTCCACATTTTCATTTTTTTTACACAGACTGATAACCAATCAATCGTTCAGCATGGGAATATTTTGATCTGCGAACCACAAAATGAATAATAAATTATTGTTGGGTTGCTACAGTGCACGTGTTTCCCACAAAGTTGTATACATTTGCTTTTGAAGTTTAATTAATCAATATAAATAATCCTACTGACGTATTTTAAAACAGCTGCGCTGATACAAAGTAGTAAGGTAAGTATAAGTTTAACAATATGCACGAGATTCCCTTGCAGCTTTGTCCTTGTTTACATACAGCGTTCTACATGCAGGGAATGAGCAGAAATCAAAGCTATTATATACAACTATACCCTAAACAAAGCTATATTAAGAATACACCTTTAAATATTAATAACCGCCCCATTAATAACTGATACCTTCCACGTGGATTTATTGCAGCTGAAATATACGGTGTCCTGGTTGCGCCAGTTATAGGACATTTATTGACATTAAAGTCTTATGCCGCTCTTCTGTATTTTTTTAGATAAAGAAGCAAGATTTTACATTCTCGCGCCATTCAACGTTAAACTTAACATATATGCTAGTAGTTTCGCTCTATATTACCTTTTGTATCGGAAGGATAATTTATGTGTATTAACAGTTCAAGTACAAAATAGAGATTCCGGACAAATTGCATGTGCTAAAAGACTTTGGCTCATTTGTCTAGTCTCATAATTATCCTCCCTTTCATAATCAATTGCAAATAATTATTTAATAAACACATTTTCTTGTTTTCGAACAAAAAAAAGAAAGATGTAAGGGAAACAACTCATTTTCAGTGCAGTATTTAATTCTTTCTTGAGTTATTTCCCTTTAAAATATATCGCCTGTTGACCATGTGAGAACCAACAGATACTGACCATTGATAAACAACACACTGGAAATTGCTTTCTTTAATTTTACCTCCTTTATTTTGCTAACCTTCGTATTGTTAATAACAGGTTAAGCACGAGAGTTATATTCGACGTTGCGAATGCTTTTTGCCGTATAGTGCACCACGATCTCCACTATGATCGATGCTCTTTTCGAACGGATCCAAGCAGGGCGTGACGCTGCGGCTCGTGTGACCCTGTTAGTTCGGACGAAGTCCATTTCTTACAAACCAGAAATTTCCAACCTTACCGGGTAATGCACCCTACAGTGACGTTTCATCACTATTATATTCTATCAAAGTCGACTGGAAACCATCAAGATTCTCTTATCCTATTTAACTAAGAGTCAGAATGTATTAGTCTGATACAAAAAAAATTGAAATTGAACATCTTAAGATGTGTAAAACTGTAAAAAGAAAATATATACTAACATAAATTATCACATACCTTTTCCGATTTTACGACTCGGTAAAAATCGTTTTGCACGGCCGTGCACATATTTTGACGTGACGTCATTTGCGTTATTCAAACATAGCGTAAAGACGCGCAAAATGTTATCGTTACACTATAGGCGCGTCAATGTAAAAATATTATTTTGCACTTTGAACCGTCTTTATTTTGGGTACAGTATGTGGTAAAAAAATTATATTCGTGTAGGTTCATTACTAAATGTATTGAACTCTTTGAATGAAATAATATTTTGCTGGCCAAAGGCTCGTAAAATATAATATTATTCAACTCGTTCAATAAATTCAGTTCTCATTCAATTTACTCTTTATAATGGTAGAGAATTTACACCATTACTACTGCTGAATAATTCATTTTTCAGTTTTATTTAAACCAATGCATGGGCAAATAATAGTCATTAACAGTATTATTTAAAACAACTCAATGCAATTATGGCTACATATTAAATAATCACACATTATATCGAGAATAGTGCAAAGATATTACATACATAAACATTGATTCTCATAATTATTCGGTGAACCTTTTCTCAGAGTTGGTAATATTTTTAGTTCCTGGTCACTTCGATGCTTATGTATTCAACAAAAGAGACCGGAAGTGGCAAAAGATATCGAGTTGTTATGAGTTAATCAAATGTTTTATTAGGCACGTGATAGCACATTACGAAACAACTAAATATTTCTTCAGATTTATGCTAATTTTCCTGAAAATTTTGAAAAAATGTATTTAAAAGTTCAATATTGTGAATTGAACAAAGAAAATAATTTACATATTGCAAACGGCACATACAATCCGATTACTAAAAAGAGGTCAAAATATGCAAAAGCAGGCCTTATTGCGTTAGTCACGCAGACGAAATATGGCTAAATCATTCATTAATCGCGCATAACATGTAAATTATTACTTGAATCTTGATTTTTTTTCTGTTCACATGTTTTTCAAGTTAGATTTCCATGAAATATTTTAGCTCATCTGGAGGTATGCAGCTTTAATTTCAGAATGAAGTTTAACTGTTTTATTCGTTGTAGCCTTGATCTCGGTCTGAACAAATGTGCCCGGTGATGTTTGTTTTCGGTTTTAGTACTTCGGTCGGTAGGCGGGATCATATCCGGGACCTGTATGCGGAGGAGGATACGTTTGTGGCTGTGGATAACCCGGTTGGAAGCTGGAACCACCTGGTGGTGGTCCTGGGTAGCTTGGCGGAGGACCTTGCGGATGTGGTTCTAAAATATTAAAGAGAATGTGTGACAGTAAATTTACGACATGTTTCTTATAAGATTGTTAAAAATATTACTTACTCATGCGATGTGACATTTTTTAACATTGGGCTATTATTTTAAATCGTTTTGGTCTTAAAATAAATAATTGTCTAAGATGGGGATTAAGTAGAATTTTATAGAAACTGTACCAATTAAATAAACAAACTTAATAAAGAAAAACACTTATTACATTAACTTGCTCTAAATGACGTCATGATTTAATATTAAAACATGAATTTCACCAAAAAACAAGGCGACAAAGCGGGCTTTAAAGAAACGGTGCAGAATCTGTAACATATTACTTACGATACGCAGGAGGTTGAACAACTGTCACTCTTGTCGCGTGTTGTGGAGATGGGTTTATAACACTTCCACGTTGTTTTTTCTTCTTACATATGTAAACCAGCACGACAATCACAGCCACTATAAATATTGTCCCGAACACGGCGCCGGCCACAATACCGGTTATCGTACAACACCCATAGTCGTAGTCGTACTTGCTGCCGCAACATCCATACGTGCATTCGTAAGTCTCGCTGTAGTATATGTTATAACAGCTGTCACCTGATGCTCCTACCGGAAGGAAAGACAATAATAGGTTATTAATTAGTGAAAACAATCGGATAACTTCCGGCATGTCCGTTTTTTCGTATACTCAGTATGTCTGAGTTGGTCAGATATGCACCAATCCCAATATTAAGTACGAAACATATTTATATGATTATGTCACATTGTGTCATGTAGTTTTGTTGTGTGTTATCATCATCATCATCATCATCATCATCATCATCATCATCATCATCATCATCATCATTATTATTATTATTATTATTCAATAAGTATCCTAAAAACGCCTCAATTTTAAAGCAGGTGTATGCGTCATTTCTTATGATGTAAAGCCATGGGACAATTGTATTCTTACTACATGTAGCAATTACACTTTATTTATAACAGGAATTTGTGCGAGTTTTGTTATTAAATAGCAAGCTAAACCTGAAGATATGTACAAATAGTGATGAAGAATAAGGTCATTTTATAATTTATGTATGTTTACAAAACCAACATAATGGGTTTGCGATCAGCATGGATCCAGACCAGCCTGCGCATCCGCGCAGTCTGATCAGGATCCATGCTGTTCGCTATCAGTTTCTCTACTTGTAATAGGGTTAGTAAGCGAACAGCATGGATCCTGATCAGACTGCGCGGAAGCGCAGGCTGGTCTGGATCCTTGCTGGTCGCAAACGCACTATGTGGGTTTTGTCATGACGGGGCTCATATTAATGTTATTCAACGTGCTAAATGAATCATAAAGTAATAGATAACCAGCCAATATGTACACTGCACTTTGGTTATATAACTATAACATATGGCCAGTTTTTAATATAGCAAATCGTATACAATTGAGATTGTAATTTCAAAGACCACACGATCGGACAATATAAGATAAATCTTTGTTTCCGCTTCAAGGCCCCGTGAAATGATTTTAAAGATGGCAAGTAGCTTCTTGTTTAAGAAAGTCAACGAAAAAATCGTTATAACATAATTACGTAATTCTTTTTATTGTTTACTGAATGATTAATCAAATAAAATAAGTTATTACCTTGAAGAAACAGCAATATTGATAAAATAAATGTCGAAGTAAATAATAGAAAATCCATCTTTTGAATGATCGTAAATATTTAACAATTTCTTTTATTCATTTCGTTTTAAACGGCTTAGACATGTGCCTTAAGCTTATGATTTTACATGTTTAAAAGGTTACATTTTCTAATAAGCTTACGAAATAATAATCGTAATCGGTAATGTCCGTTCAATTTACAATGTATTTATTTTTATGAGAGACTTATGTTGTGTTTTCATCGGCCTCGCAGACACTACTTTTGATACGACAAATGCCAAAGTCGCACGTGCAGACTACGTAATCTAACGAAATTAACCGAGTATCTGTTAATACTTCGGCCAATGTTTTTATAGATCAATAATATCAATACAATAATCAATATATACACCAGTCATATATATACAAATGTATATATATATATTTCAGTATCAGCTTAAACAAAGTTAAACATACTAGAAAGTTCAAGTTTAATTTTTGTTTAACGGAGGAAACAGCCACGTTGATTCAATATTTATTATTATTATTATTATTATTATTTATAATTGTAATTATTATTATTATTTTAAATTAAGCCTAGTCTACTGGTTATATCAGTTATTACGCATGTTGATACTTTATACTCTGTTAGTTGAATATCCCCAAATTACGAAGATATAATTCCCAGTATTTTCAACGGATTTAATAATTCTGAACATACCGCCCTAGAAATATTCTGCTCAACTTTCGAATGAATGATCACAAACATCCTAGTTTCAGTCGATCGATCGGGTACTCCACTGTGGTATTTTGACATGACCATGACGGAACTGTAAATTCTTCTGAGATTTTTATACTACTTGATGTGGGTTTGGTCCTATAACTTGTATGCACATTTTCAGATCATTCCTTTGCCCTGTTTTTTTCCCCAAGCATAATAATTTTAATGCGAAAAAAGACCCTAAAACGAAAAGCGTTGCAAAATCGACCTAACCGTACACAAAAATCGATTTTCAATTTAATTGAGTATATATTTTTATTTTCCTTTGCAGGATTGTCCAATTAAGTGGTTGGCATGATCTTTTTAAGAATGTCAATCAAATTTTATGTTTTTAGGCTGTTTGATCTCAAAAAAGCTCCTTTAATTGTCCAAATAATTCCATTTATATTTGACCGAGATTGAATAATCCCAGTTGTAAAAGATTTCGATAATATTTGACCCCTATAAAACGAAACCGGGCCCTTTTAAACATTTAAATATTTTTTCTTGTTTTTTTTCCCTTCAAAACCCCTTTTAATTGTCTAGGCCACAAACCGACAATGGGGGGGGCCCCGTGGGGTTAAAGTTAAGGTTGGGTTGGGCTTCAAAACCAAACCCCCACCCCCTTTGCCGAAGTGGGAACAAAAGACTTTAAGATTCTCTCATGTTTAAAAAAGTTGTACAGAAAGCTTACGGAAGGTTTGGGGCCCTTTTAAAAGAGACCCTTTTTAGTCCTTAAAAATGCACGAACGGAAGGGGACTCTGAGGTCCCAACCACTAAAATTTTGTTTGGGCAGGCACCCCAAAGAACTTTTCATTTTGGGGCCAAAAATTACATAGACCCGTTACTATTTTAAAAATTCTAAAATCAAATCTAAAGGGAAAAGGGAAAAAAAAACAAATATAACAATAACGACGTTTTATTTTTCATATAAATAGTGAACATAATATGTTAATTAAATATATCAAAATCTCCTTTATAACTTTACAAATTTTTCGAGTAAACATCTGAAATATTTTTCGCAAACTATGGCCTCAAAATAAAATAAATGTATAGTCTTAGGTTGCTATGTTATGTTCTAATAATTAAGTAATAAAGTTCTTATCCAATCATATTAAGGTATGTGACTTGATTCCATCACTGCTATATGTAAGAACTTATATATTTATTTAGGTGGGTATGCGGGGTCATAAAGAGGCGCGTTTCCAGGCGGTGGGGGAGGGTACATCTGTGGAGGCTGGTTTCCGGGGTGAAATCCAGGTGCCCCGGGAGGAGGTCCGTGGTAGCCCGGCGCTGGAGGTCCTTGTGGATCTGAAATGTCAAAATATAAAAAAGTTATTCTGAATATTAAATGAGCCGCGTCGCGACAAAACCAACATAATTGGTTTGCGACCAGCATGGATCCAGACCAGCCTGCGCATCCGCGCAGTCTGATCAGGATCCATGCTGTTCGCTTACCAACTCTATCACAAGTAGAGAAACTGATAGCGAACAGCATGGATCCTGATCAGACTGCGCGGATGCGCAGGCTGGTCTGGATCCATGCTGGTCGCAAACCCATTATGTTGGTTTTGTCATGACACGGCTCAATTATCAAATAGCACCAATCCTACTGGATAGATGCATTGCTTCCGTGCTTATCATGTGTGATTGATCAGATACTTGTGCAAGCCCAAAACTACATGTACATTATTGTTGTGTGTACATATTATGTGATATTTTTAGATTCCTTGTATTTGACATTTGAAGGTTCTATGATAACCGCCGTGTGAACAAATCTGGGGATGTTTCTAAATTCAAAACCTCACCATTTTCATGATTAAATGTTGAAAACTGCTGTAACCGGTGCTAGGGTGCGCGGACGTTAACTTACTCATTCTGACCAAGCCTGCAACATTTGCAATTTTGTCGTTTTGAGCGAGTTTTTAAAAGGGGTTTCGTGTTTTTCTTTATTGAATACAATTGGCTTGCCGAAGATGGTCGTAATAGACAGGTATAACAAGAATGTGTACCCTTTTACAGCCGGCCGTAAGAATAAGTTATGAGTATATGCCTTGCTTGAGATAATCACAATATACCAGCAGAACAGGTTTGACTTTGTAACATGCCAATGATGGTTGTAATAGGTAAAAAAGTTGTGCCGTGCCAGGGATGGTCAGAGTTAGATGTAACAACATTTACATGCCGTGTAGATAATAGGGGCTAAAAGCAAGTATAACAAAGCTCGAATTTGTAGATGTGAAACATTGTCCCAAATCTTTGTCAGCAATGGTTGTCGTTATAGACGGGTAAAACAAAAAGGTTTGTCTCAATAGACTTACAATGTGTGAGTGAATGTAGGGAATGCAAATGATGGTCGTGACAAAGGTTTTAACATATCTTAAAAGGGTTGACTTAATAGGCATGAATAGCAAATAATGAATGTACCGTGCAAATGATGAGAATACCAGACATCTGCATAAAAGCTTGTATTTGTGCCGTGCAAAGGAGGTCGGATTTGACAAGGGGTAGCTAAACAGTAAATTGTACAAACCCCGACCTACAGACGTTTGCACCGAGATATGACAAACTACAATATACTAGTAATCCTTCACAATTTTTATTGTAACCACTTAGATGGGGTAAATGAAATCTGAAATATGGTGGTTTTGAATATTTTAAGGAACATATACTATATACCGGTATTTCCCGATAAAGCATGGATTATAATAATTATAACACCGGCAAAACTTACTATATGGTGGAGGTTGAATCACTGTTACAGTAGGAGGAGCATTATTCTGTGGCGGATGATTGACGACTCTTCCTCTCCTCTTTGTCATTTGCTGCTTGCAGACTATGATCACAACAACTATAATAACAATGACTATGATTCCCCCGACGACGGCGCCGGCAATTGTGCCTACCTCTACACAACAGCCGTAACTAGAACTGTAATAATCACCACAGCAACCATTTTTACAGTCGTAAGTTGTCCTATAATACGTGTTGTAGCAGTACTCTGCCGATATACCTATAACATAAAAAACAAAAACATTTTTACTCAATGGGAATTAGCAGTGAGGCGGAGACAGCTGGTTCTAATCCTAAAGACTCGTGGGGACATTTCAACTTCATGAAATCCCGATTTCACCATTTCATTTTCAAGAATTCACGATTTCTATTTCATAAATCCACGATTTCAAATTTACGAATGCGTGATTTCAACTTCGTGAAATTGCAATACCATCATTTCAACATCACGAATTCACGATTTTAATTTCATGAATTCACGATTTCAACTTCATGAATTCATGATTTCAACTTCACGATCGAACTGATTTCAACTTCATGAATTAATTAACGATTACAACTTCACGAATTCGTGAATTTATGAAGCTGAAATCTTGATTCCGTGAATTCCGTATCTTGAAGAGTTTAAACCGCAAATTCACGAAGTTAAAATTGTGAATTCATGAAAATGAAATCGGGAATTCATAATGTTGAAATGTCCCCACCAGTATTTCGTAAAATCCTGCTATCTACGTGGAGTCATGGTAACAGAACTTGATGTCTTGTTTGATTTTATACCGATTGTAACACATTTGCATTTATAATTCGGCGGTCGATCATTAACCGGCTTAACTGGATGATTATAATCAGAATTATCAGTAATAAATTACTAATTTCATCGAAAATAATTGATTACTTATCTCAAATGTTTCCGAACCAGCGATGAGAGACAAAATACTCATGTATTATCACGGGGAAATAACGCCCTGCCCGAAGATCGAACCAGTGGAAAGTGACACGCCCCCCTGCCAGGTTACTAAATTACTAATATAACATTTTATCGAGCTAAGTGGGTGCACATCTTATCTGAATGATTTAAAGTTTTCTTACATAATGTAAAATACCGGTTTGCTAAGCCTAGATTATTACAAGAAATTTCAATAAAAAATGTTCAAGAGAACTATAATGTGAAATAAAATGATTTTGATCTAAACTATAGTGAATTAAAGAAATAAGTAATATACACTAACCCTTTAGAAACAAAATAAGTAGTAAAATAAAAGTTGAGCTGAACATTTCCTGCAAATCCATGATTGTATATATCATGTCCACATTTTATGTCACAAGAAAATTATTTCAAAATTTTACATTCGATTTTATTTTGCTTAAAGCTGTTACATTGAAAGGGATTTGAAACTGTAATAGGCTTAGTGTATTGAATTAAATAACTAGATTTTGAAAATGTTGGAGGTTTAAAGGCATACATCGACGCAACTTAAAAAAGAAACTTTCTTATTGTTAAAACATACTTTTTAAGCTTGGCCTTTGAATTGTTCACTGACCAAAGATAATAAACGCATTTTATATTAAATTTTAACCATTACCCATTATAATCATTAATGGACTTGTCCATCTTCCAATTTGGATAAAACCATTTATCATTTAAGGGCAAAATTCCATTAGGTATTTACCAAATAGCTAACAGTGCAGACCAAGATTCAGGCGGTGTGGGTGTGCTGGTTGATATTGGTCTGCATTGCTCGCATGGATCGAATCGATTGCCGCCTGTAAGGATTAAAGACAAACATGTTAAAATCTGCCTGCTTGATGAATATTTTTACTTTTTGGTCGAGCAGTGTCTTTAATATTCATGTACAGTGAAACCATGAAAGTGGCATAAACAATTGTAAAACTTATTTATATTCACGTATACATTTGTGTAGGGATAAGCAATCAGAAATTCCGTAATACTATAATAATAAGGAATAGTATTATATTGCATACAATAAGTGCAGAAAACATATTAGACAAAATTGTCAAATTCCATCCATCTCGTATGTAAAACAATTAATAACATTTGTATTAAATTAAAATAAATTATATATTACATCTAATTAATTCTTTCATTTTAATTTAATTTAATTAATTGATTTATTAAATTGAATTAAATTAAGTTCTGGTTGCCCAGGAGGTATATGTAACACTCGAAAAATATGCACGTTTAGTAAAGGTCCATTATGTCACAGATATGCTTTTATTTTTTCAAAAGCTTCTTCTTTTTGGTTTCTTGTTATAGTTTCCAAAAAGTAACTAAAGCTAGACCAATAATTTGAACAATCTTTTGTTTCTTTTTCTTTCTGGGAATAAGTACAGTAATAGAGATTTAATATTTTGTATGGAAGTCAAAATACTCTATTTTGGTTACATTTTGTTACTTTTGTGACAAAATATTTCACATTCAGTACTACTTCCTTCAAAAAATAAGCATCTAGCATTATAAACATTATAATATTCATATTTGCTCTTTCTAAATAAGGGAAAATGAGCCGCGTCACGACAAAACCAACATAATGGGTTAGCGACCAGCATGGATCCAGACCAGCCTGCGCATCCGCGCAGTCTGATCAGGATCCATGCTGTTCGCTATCAGTTTCTCTACTTGTTATAGGGTTTGTAAGCGAACAACATGGATCCTGATCAGACTGCGCGGATGCGCAGGCTGGTCTGGATCCATGCTGGTCGCAAACGCACTATGTTGGTTTTGTCGTGACGCGGCTCATTAATGTATTCAATTCTGATGCATAATGTGGCTTTAAAATGTAGTTGATTATAATAATTTTCCTTAGCTGAATCTTTACAGTTTCAAGTATTACCATGACACCCGCGCCTTAACCAGTTGACTTTTCAGTAGTCAGCCTTCTTAACAATAGAGTTTTAAAATCAAAAGATCCTGACACCGGGAAGACAAGAACAATATAAAACACTGAGATAATGTACGGATTTTTTTTTACAAATTCCAAACTGTATGCTCTGCTTCATTTGAGGTATAATGTTTAATGTTACATCCATGTTACACAACTACCACAAGAGATAAAAGGTCTAAAGTGCTGATATTAACACATAATACATATACATGTGTCATTTGTTAACGCTGTTGCAACTTCATTGATACAAGGCCTATATATTACAGTAGATCATTTCTATTTATATTAACTGGACTTCCATGACTATTTTTCTCAAAGTAAAACTTTAAAACCTGTGTCACTGACTAGTTTAAAATGTCTCATACGTTTGAAACAGTTAACAGCAACTTCTTTCTATCACTATTTTATCTGTTCAGTTGTATTTGCTCTTAAAAGTCGTCTCTTTTCAAAGCCAACGGCGTTATCAATTCAAACGTTTCAGGTGTTGCTTTTCGTGATTACTTTATATACTGTACGGTGGCGGTGGAGAATTATTGCCAATTGTCCGATTACACTCGTTGGTATTCTGATGCGGTTGCCATTCTATTATCTGGCCGGAAGTGTTTCTACCAATAGTATTTGACGCATGCGTGCCATGAACGGAAGCTGAGTCGATATAATATGGCGGAGGAGCCATTGGTTGTCTGAACACCCCTAAAATAATAAAATAGCTTTTTCAGATTTTCTTATTTCAACAGCGGGGATCGGGGTTGCTTCTTTTCAAAAGAGGCTACGATGTTAGGCTAAATTTGATATGACTCGACAACATAAAGTAAAGTGTGTCTATAAAAGCGGTTTAATGGGTACAATGTGCACTTTTAGAGCAATGAAAACACATAATAGAATTCAAGGTAAATGATTTGTTATGAAACTTTTCTGTAAACAGGCAAAATTGCCGTTTCCTACTTCTGCCTAAAACTGTTAGTCTATATATAGTCACCCTTAAACTTTTAAAATTTTCAATTTATATATTTATTATTCATTTTGAGAAAAGGTTGACACTTGTTCACATGTTTTAACTCTATGAACTTTCTAAATAAATATCGATAGCCGGCTAATCGTATCAATTTTTCTAGGAAGCGCGACTTTTAGAGAGGGGAAAAAACTATTACAAAAGTTATAAAATAACATTACTCACATTGTAGATGATAATAGTTAAAGTTCCTTCTGTCAGTTCCATCGATACATGCTCGTGGTAGGTTGGAAGGTCTATCTTCAGTCATACGTATCGAAATACCGGACGGTCCGGTTCTTCTCCGTGAATCTGTTTTCTTCTTGTACCAAAGGGCGATAAGCAATACAGCTAGCACTGATAGTAAGATTGCAGCCACGATTATATAAGCTATGTAAGATGATGTCGCGCAACAATATTTGTCGGGACTATTTCCACAGCAGCCATTGTCACACATGTATAACTCATGCCGAACTTCGTTTATGCACTCCGTTTCGCATTGTACCTCTTGTATGGAAGAAAGAAATAGGTATTTAAAGCGCATATCATTAAAGGCTGGTCGATATGACTACACGATTTAATATCGTCACTATTTCGACAATTTCTTTTCAGTTTTAGACAAGAATCACTCTAACATTTATATAATAGGTTAATGCGTTTACAATTATTAGCAAATGCACGAAGACTTGTTCTATTAGATAACTTCAGATGACACTTAGTTTGAATTTTATTCTGATAAAAAATATATCTTAAGAAGCGTCATAAGGAAAGTAGTGCAATATTGTTTCAAAGTAGCTATGTCGTTCTCCAATTAATTTCTTAAAACCGATCAAGATTTCACGTACTAACTGTTGAAATGAAATAGTATATAGTGATGGCTATTCATCAGTATAAGTCTAATTAATCCTTACCACTCTAAATATCTTAAATGGACTTGTCCATTCTAAAGACTAAACCATTCATCATAAATATAAAGTATATTTTGATATTTCTTCATATATGAAATCTGATCCTTTTTAAGATATGATACTGTTGGTATTTTGCGAGGTTTTCTTAAAAAAAAATGAATTTTCTTTACAATAAAATCATTAAACCAGAAAACCGAAATGCTTTGAAACACTGAGATAAGTATATCAGTATTCTGTGCTCTATTTTTAAACACTTGCGCAGTTTTTTCGGTCCACACAAGTCCAAATATTTTTTAAAACATTTTTTGGTTGTTTTCTTTTGTGAGATCGTGCAGTTCTACTTTGTGTGTCGTTTTCAAAGAAACCTGCCGGAAAGATAAGTTGGTTCATGTCTGAATACGCCTAAGCATTAGCAAATAGTTCTTTTATGTCCACTTTTACAGAACTACTACGCTCTTTGTCAGATTACTGTATTGTAACATGGCCAGTGATTGGCTGCGAAAAGGGCAGGAAAAACCGTAAGATTCAATGATAAGCATGTAATGTTAACAAGTATGAAAAATGTTTATGAAACTAACACTGCATTGTTTTCTTAATAAAATGAACTTTACCATATAGGTCTCTAGGATAATTTCTCATTTGGATTTTTGCATTTTAAAAATAGTATATGTCAGTCCTGTGATCAGCAGAAAATTTCATTGAAAAGGGGGAATCATCTTTGGAACACTGCGAAAAATGTGGACTGTCAAACCCTGTATAACAAGGTCAGTTTAGTATGTCAGGTATGTCATTCTTCTAGAAAAACCCCATCTTTAGCATAAATACTCAATTTTAAGGTTAGTTTAGTGGTAATTTCTTGTAATGCCAGTCTATGGGAAAATTAATACAGTAGTATGACTTTGTTCTTAAGTTGTTGAACTAAATTGAAAATGTTTTGCATTCTTACTAGTTATTACACTTTATTTATAAAAGACTTAGTGCGAGTTTTGTTATTAAATAGCAAGCTAAATCTGAAGATTTGTACAAATAGTGATGAAGAATAAGGTCATTTTAGAATTTATGCTAAGTTTACAATAATATTTCACATTTTCTTTCATCTTAAAGCAGTACAAATTGTATAATCAGGCCGATGAAAGACATATTAATTGCAGGATTGTCCAATTAAGTGGTTGGCATGATCTTTGTAAGAATGTCAATAAATTGTTATGTTTTTAGGCTGTTTGATCTCAAAAAAGCTCCTTTAATTGTCCAAATAATTCCATTTATATTTGACCGAGATTGAATAATCCCAGTTGTAAATGATTTCGATAATATTTGACCCCTATAAAACGACCGGCTTTAATCATAACTATTTTGCTTGTTATTTCCCTTCAATCATTTTAATTGTCTAGGCTACAAACCGACAATGGGGGCCTCCGTGGCTTAAAGTTAAGGTTGCTGACTTCAAACCAACCACTACCATTTGCCGAAGTGGGAACAAATGGACTTTAGATTCTCTCATGTGAAGAAGTTGTACAGCTAGCTTACGGAAGGTCGGCCATTCATGAGACCCATCTAGTCCTTAAATAATGCACGAACGGAGGGCACATCTTAGGTCTAACCACTAATTATGTTAGACAGGCACCCAATGAACTTGTCATTGTGGACCAAAATTACATATGACCCGTTACTTTAAGAATTCTACATCAACGTCTAAGAATAAGAAAATAATACAACAAAATATAACAATAACGACGTTTTATTTTTCATATAAATAGTGAACATAATATGTTAATTAAATATATCAAAATCTCCTTTATAACTTTACAAATTTTTCGAGTAAACATCTGAAATATTTTTCGCAAACAATGGCCTCAAAATAAAATAAATGTATAATCTTAGTTTGCTCTGTTATGTTCTAATAATTTTTTAATAAAGTTCTTATCCAATCATATTTAAGTATGTGACATGATTCTGTCACTGCTATATGTAAGTACACAAATGTACTTAGTAATTTATTTAGGTGGGTAGGCGGGGTCATAAAGAGGCGCGTTTCCAGGCGGTGGAGGAGGGTACATCTGTGGAGGCTGGTTTCCGGGGTGGAATCCAGGTGCCCCGGGAGGAGGTCCGTGGTAGCCCGGCGCTGGAGGTCCTTGTGGGTCTGAAATGTCAAAATATAAAAAAGTTATTCTAAATACAAATGTATTAAATATCAAATAGCACAAATCCTACTGGCTATGTGCATTGCTTCTATGCTTTTCATGTGTGATTGATCAGATACTTGTGCAAGCCCAAAATTACATTATTGTTGTGCGTACATATTATGTGATATTTCTAGATCATTATATTTGACATTTGAAGGTTCTATAATAACCACTGTGTGAACAAATCTGGGAATGTTTCTAAATCAAAATTTCGCTATTTTCATGATTAAATGTTGAAAACTGCTTTTGCCGATGCTAAGGGACGCGGACGTTAACTTCAACTTACCAGTACCGTCCATAAACGGGCTCATTCTAACCGAGCAATTTTGTCGTTTTGAACGTTTTTTTTAAGGATTCTGTTTCTTTCTTTATTTAATATAATTGGCTTGCCGAAGATTGTCGTAATAGACAACAACAAGTTTATAACAAGTTTTGAATGTGTACCCTTTTACAAACGGTCGTAAGAATAAGTTAAGAGTATATGCCTTGCGTGAGATAGTCACAATATACCAGTAGAACAGGTTTGACTTTATAACATGCCAATGATGGTTGTAATAGACCGGTAGAAAAAGTTGTGCTGTGCCAGGGATGGTTGGAGTTAGGTGTAACAACATTTATATGCCGTGTAGATAAACGGGGCTAAAATAGGTATAACAAAGCTCGAATTTGTAGATGTGAAACATTGTCCCAAATCTTTGTCACGCAATGGTTGTCGTAATAGACGAATAAAACAAAAAGGTTTGTCTCAATAGACTTACAATGTGTGAGTGAATGTAGGGAATGCAAATGATGGTCGTTTAACAAAGGTTTTAACTTTTAACATATCTTAAAAGGGTTGATTTAATAAGCGCGATTAGCAAATATTGAATGTACCGTGCAAATGATGAGAATACCAGACAACTGCATAAAAGCTTGTATTTGTGCCGTGCAAAGGAGGTCGGATTTGACAAGGGGTGGCTAAACAGTAAATTGTACAAACCGACCTACAGACGTATGCACCGAGATGACAAACTACAATATACTAGTAATCCTTCACAATTTTTATTGTAACCACTTAGATGTGGTAAATGACATCTGAAATATGGTGATTTTGAATAACTTATTTAATTTAAAATATACTTTATACCGGTATCTTCTGATAAAGCATGATTATATTAGACAGGGAAAACTTACTATAGGGTGGAGCTGAAGGTTGAATCACTGTTACAGTAGGAGGAGCATGATTCTGCGGCGGATGATTGACGACTCTTCCTCTCTTTGTCATTTGCTGCTTGCAGACTATGATCACAACAACTATAATAACAATGACTATGATTCCCCCGACGACGGCGCCGGCAATGGTGCCTACCTCTACACAACACCCGTAACTAGAACTGTAATAATCACCACAGCAACCATTATTACAGTCGTAGGCTGTCATATAATACGTGTTGTAGCAGTACTCCGCCGATATACCTATAACAAATAAAAAGTCAATTTTACTTAATGGGAATTAGCAATGAGGCGGAGACAGACGAAATACTGGTGAGGACATGTCAACTTCATGAAATCCCGATTTCATCATTTCAACCTCACGAATTAGTCAATTCATGAAGTTGAAATCGTTAATTCATGAAGTTGAAATCGTGAATTCCTGAAGTTGAAATCGTGAAATCATAAAGTTGAAATCGTGAATTCATGAAGTTCAAATCGTGAATTAATGAAGATAAAATCGTGAATTTGTGAACTTAAAGTCATGAATTCGTGAAGTTGAAATCATGAGTTCGTGAAGTTGAAATCGTGAGTTCGTGAAGTTGAAATCGTGAGTTCGTAAAGTTGAAATCGTGAATTCATGAAGTTGAAATCGTAAATTCCTGAAGCTAAAATCGTGGTATGGTGAAATCCGTATGTTGAAAACGTGAATTCACGAAGGTAAAATTGTGACTTCACGAAAATGAAATCGAAAATTCATGAAGTTGAAATGTCCCCATCGGTCTTTCGTATAATCCTGCTCTCTATGCGTTTCTCTTTTCAGATAGCCGTGATAACAATTGACTTGGGCAGTACTTTTTATCGTTTAGCTTGAATTTTATACCAATTGTAACACATTTTCATTCATAATTCGGCGGTCGATCAATAAACCGGCTTAACTGGATAACAATAATCAGTAATCAATAACTAATTTCACCGAAAGTGATTGATTACTAATCTCACATGGGTTCTGAATCAGCTGTGAGAGAAAATAGACTCATGTCCGAGAAGTATTGTCACGGGAAAATTGCGCCTTGCCCCGACGCTCGAACCACTGACCGCCCCGATTACTAACCCAATGCTTTACCTATTGAGCTAGGTGGACATATCTTATCTCAATAATTTAAAGTTTTTTATTACATAAAGTAAAATACCGATATGCTAAGCCTAGATTATAACAAGAAATTTCATAATAGAATGTCAAGAGAAATACAAATGTTCGCTATCATGTGAAACAAAATGATTTTGGTCTAAACTATGTTGAATTAAAGAAATAAATAATATACACTAATAATATACTAACCCTTTAGAAACAAAATAAGTAGTAAAATAAAAGTTGAGCTGAACATTTCCTGCAAATCCATGATTGCATATATTATGTCCACATTTTATGTCACAAGAAAGTTATTTCAAAATACTTCATTCGATTGTATTTTGATTATAACTGTAATATTGAAAGGGATTTGGAGCTGTAATAGGCTAAGTGTAACTAAATAACTAGATTTTGAAAATGTTGGAGGTTTAAAGGCACATATCGACGCAACTTAAAAAAAAACTTTCTTATTGTAAAAACATACTTTTTAAGCTTGGCCTTTGAATTGTTCACTGAACGCACTTTATATTAAATTTTAAGAATTTTAACCATTACCCATTATAATTATTAATGGACTTGTCCATCTTTCAATTTGGATAAAACCATTCATCATTTAAGGGCAAATTTCCATAAGGTATTAACTAAATAACTAACAGTTCAGACCAAGATCAGGCGATACTGGTGTGCTGGTTGATATTGGTCTGCACTGCTCGCATGGATCAAATCTATTGCGGCCTATAAGGACTAAAGACAAACATGTTAAAATCTGCCTGCTTGATGAATATTCTTACTTTTTGGTCGAGCAGTGTCTTTAATATTCATGTACAGTGAAACAATGAAAGTGGCATAAACAATTGTTAAACTTATTAATATGTACGTATACATCTGTGTAGGGATAAGCAAACAGAAATTTCGTAATACTATAATAATAAGGAATAGTATTATACTGCACACAATAAGTGCAGGAAACATAGAAAAAGTTGTCAAATTACATCCATCTTGTATGTAAAACAATTAATAACATTTGTATTAAATTAAAATAAATTATATATTAAATCTAATTAATTCTTTCATTTTAATTTAATTTAATTAATTGATTTATTAAATTGAATTAAATTAAGTTCTGGTTGCCCAGGAGGTATAATTATGTAACACTCGAAAATTATGCATGTTTAGTAAAGGTCCATTATGTCACAGATATGCTTTTATTTTTTCAAAAGCTTCTTCTTTTTGGTTTCTTGTTATAGTTTCCAAAAAGTAACTAAAGCTAGGCCAATGATTTGAACCATCTTTTGTTTCTTTTTCTTTCTGGGAATAAGTACAGTAATAGAGATTTAATATTTTGTATGGAAGTCAAAATACTCTATTTTGGTTACTTTTTGTTACTTTTGTGACAAAATATTTCACATTCAGTACTACTTCCTTCAAAAAATAAGCATCTAGTATTATAAACATTATAATATTCATATTTGCTCTTTCTAAATAAGGGAAAATGAGCCGCGTCACTACAAAACCAACATAATGGGTTAGCGACCAGCATGGATCCAGACCAGCCTGCGCATCCGCGCAGTCTGATCAGGAACATGCTGTTCGCTTTCAGTTTCTCTACTTGTTATAGGGTTTATAAGCGAACAGCATGGATTCTGATCAGACTGCGCAGATGCGCAGGCTGGTCTGGATCCATGCTGGTCGCAAACGCACTATGTTGGTTTTGTCGTGACGCGGCTCAAATGTATTCAATTCTGATGCATAATGTGGCTTTAAAATGTAGTTGATTATAATAATTTTCCTTAGCTGAATCTTTACAGTTTCAAGTATTTCCATGACACCTGCGCCTTAACCAGTTGACTTTTCAGTAGTCAGCCTTCTTAACAATAGAGTATCCTGAAACCCGGAAGACAAGAACAATATAAAACACTGAGATAATGTACGGATTTTTTTTTTTAAAATTCCAAACTGTATGCTCTGCTTCATTTGAGGTATAATGTTTAATGTTCCATCCATGTTACACAACTACCACAAGAGATAAAAGGTCTAAAGTGCTGATATTAACACATAATACATATACATGTGTCATTTGTTAACACTGCTGCAACTTCAAAGATACAATGCCTATATATTACAGTAGATCATTTTTATTTATATTTACTGGACTTCCATGACTATTTTTCTCAAAGTAAAACTTTAAAACCTGTGTCACTGACTAGTATAAAATGTCTCATACGTTTGAAACAGTTAACAGCAACTTCTTTCTATCACTATTTTATCTGTTCAGTTGTATTTGCTCTTCAAATTCATCTCTTTTCAAAGCAAGCAATTTCAGTTCAACGGCGTTATCAATTCAAACGTTTCAGGTGTTGCTTTTCGTGATTACTTTATATACTGTACGGTGGCGGTGGAGAATTATTGCCAATTGTCCGATTATACTCGTTGGTATTCTGATGCTGTTGCCATTCGACTATCCGACCGGAAGTGTTTCCACCAATAGTATCTGACGCATGCGTGCCATAAGCGGAAGCTGAGTCGACATAATATGGCGGAGGAGCCATTGGTTGTCCGAACACCCCTAAAATAATAAAATTTATTTTTAAGATTTTCATATTTCAACATATATATAATAGCTGCACAGGTGGTTTGCTTCTTTTCAAAATAGGCTACGATGTTAGGCTAAATTTGATATGAATCAACAAGTGTGTCTATAAGAGCGGTTTAATTGGTATGATGTGCACTTTTAGAGCAATGAAAACACATGATAGAATTCAAGGTAAATGATTTGTTATGAAACTTTTCTGTAAACAGGCAAAAATACCGTTCCCGCACATACTACTGCCTAAAACCGTCAGTCTATAGTCATCCTTAAACTTTTACTATTTTCAATTATTATTTATTATTTATTTTGAGAAAAGATTGACACTTGTTCACATAATATGTTTTAACTCTCTGAACTTTCTAAAAAATATCGATACGCGGCTAGTCGTATCAATTTTTCCAGGAAGCGCGATTTTGAGAGAGGGGAAAAAACTATTACAAAAATTATACAATAACATTACTCACATTGTAGATGATAATAGTTAAAGTTCCTTCTGTCAGTTCCATCGATACATGCTCGTGGTAGGTTGGAAGGTCTATCTTCAGTCATACGTATCGAAATACCGGACGGTCCGGTTCTCCTCCGTGAAACTGTTTTCTTCTTGTACCAAAGAGCAATAAGCAATACAGCTAGCACTGATAGTAAGATTGCGGCCACGATAATATAAGCTATGTAAGATGATGTCGCGCAACAATATTTGTCGGGACTATTTCCACAGCATCCATTGTCACACATGTATAACTCATGCCGAACTTCGTTTATGCACTCTGTTTCGCATTGTACCTCTTGTATGGAAGAAAGAAATATGTATTAAAGCGCATATCATAAAAGCCTCGGCGAAGATAAAATATCGTCACTATTTCGACAATTTCACAAGAATTACTCTTACATGTATATAATAGGTTTATGCGAGTACAATTATCTGCAAATGCACGAATACTTATTCTATTAGATAATTTCAGATGACACTTAGTTTGAATTTTATTCTGATAAAAAAAATACATCTTAATTAAGAAGCGTCACAAAGAAAGTAGTGCAATATTGTTTCAAAGCAGTTATGTCGTTCTCCAATTAATTTCTTAAAAACCGATCAAGATTTCACGTACTAACTGTTGAAATGAAATAGTATATAGTGATGGCTATTCATCAGTATAAGTCTAATTAATCCTTACCACTCTAAATATCTTAAATGGACTTGTCCATTCTAAAGACTAAACCATTCATCATTTTAAGGGGGGAAATTAACAATATGTACATTTGTAAAAACTGCAGTCTACGTTCAAATGGCAAGGACTTTGGTCCGCACGGGCGGCACGAGTAAATTCACTTGCCGCTAGCATATCGATCTTATTACTAATAAATTGTTAAGTATTGCATGTCGTTTATCATGTTCTTTTTTTATGTATTGCCGGATACATAAAGAATCTTTAAAAATATTCCCGACCAGACCCACAATTCCTTGCACGAGATTCATTGGCCCTTCAAGTTGACCAATTTCTGCCATCTTGTTTTAACATAACCGTATCGAGAAAAATTTTGATTTTCTTAATATTCAATGGTTTTTATTTTACATTTTTACAACTTCTTTTTGTCACTTCTTTCGATAACCGTAACAAATTTTATATAACGTGGTACATTTTCTCGTTTCAAACATAGTTTTAGAAATTCTCACGAAAATGAGAACTTGCGAGATGATTTATTCCTGATAAAGTTTTTAGGAGGACGACAGCTTACTCTCCATTTAAATTGCTCTGTGGTATTTCTGAACCACGCTCTTGTACTTATGTTTACGAAAAGTGCGCTTACTATCAAACGGACTGAAGACAGTAAAGCAATACAATCACCATTGCTGTATCTTTACAACTGTTCGGAAATAAATATATATTTTAGAATATAATACAAATGCATTTAACATACCTCGCAGTATCAAGAAAAATAGTCCAATTCTGAGGATTGCTGCGTAGGAATCTAACTTTTTCATTTTCACCTGGGAATTGTGAACGTAAGCGTAACTTTAAAATGTCCACTTTATGTTGGTTAGACCTAAGATCAATAAATGCTATGTCAAAATCTCAATACAATGTAATTTAAAGTCTCTTTATTAAATGAATGGTGTTTTCTAAACTAAAGAAGGTAAATAAAAGGTTTTTTATTTTTATTTCAACATGTTGTAACGTATTTTATACATAATTTTACATGTGTAAAACTGCAATATTACGCACGCAGTTAAACAATATTATACAATTCAATAGGTTATACATTATTACACAATAACATTTTTGTGGCTGTAATTGGGTTTATTGTAATCCTTTAGATTAAATTATCGAACGATACATGTGTAAACTATGCTTTTATTCCGTGTGCATGTATACAAAAATTGGTAAAATATAAAAACTAACATATAATTTGTCACACAATTACGTCACCGGTAACTAGATAGTCTCCCCCACCCCCTACTGTTCTTTGTTAGAGTAGGTAGCTAGTCACACTTTGGGACTGGTTCATGTAAGTATTACTGAACATTTTTCTTTCTTTTCTTGATAAATAAACGTTTCATCTGTCTCACATCCTTCATTTACAACGATATAAATAATCCAGTGCCCCTGACTAGTACTTATATCTTTGTCATCTAACGTTTCCATCCTATTTCTTCTTTATCTCATTTTAAGCCCGATGAGCAACATCGGCATTAATACTGTATGGTGGAGGCAGTTCGCCGTGCTGTTGTTGTGAAGTTTGGGGATCTAGTGTGTGACTGTATTCGTTTTGCGTTCGTTTTTGATTGGCAATTTGTTGCATATTTAATGACGTCAGTTCAATGTTTTCGTGAGAAACTTGGACGGCAGTGTAAGGTGGCGGCGGTCCTATGTACGGAGGAGGAGCCATTGTGCACGAGGAGGGTGTGGCTGAAATGTACAAAAACAATACTTGTACCTTAAGTTTTGAACGACTCATAAAAATACATTTGAAGACAGTGTAATAATGTATTGTTAAAGGACTATGACTTCTTCGCCGTATATACCATCTGTTTCAACTCAAACAATTCAAGTACAATTCTCAATTATGTGCGCTCATTTGTTTATTGACTAAATATATTCATAACTCACCACACATGCATTTCATTTTTCTTAACATTGAAAGAAATGGGCAAACATACCCTGTTAACAAATATGTAGAATTCATTCTAATACTTTGCGGATGTTTGTAAATACAAAAAACAAACTATGTATATTTGAGTTTACTTACAATGCGATGAATAACCGATGATTCTTGTGGTGTTATTTAAGCCTAATACACGATCATGAATTATATCTCGTCTGCTTGTGGAATTGAGCATCCGCTTGAGGTCCTTCCGTTTCCGGTAGCATATAACGAATACAGCTATTGCTAATACTACTAGGAACATAACACCGGCGACTATATATGGTATAAGTCTTCCATGTAGACAGCATTCAAGTTCTAAGTCGTTACCACAACATCCGAAATCGCAAAATTTTACCTCGGTGAAATCATGGTTGTAGCAAGCGGCCTCACTTCTCACACCTAGTAAATAAATAAATAAATTAATTAATAACTTTATAAATAAATAAATAAATAAGAAATGTGAGTGAGTGAGTGAGTGAGTGAATGAATGAATGAATGAATGAATGAATGAATAAATGAATGAATGAATGAATGAATGAATGAATGAATGAATGAATGAATGAATGAATGAATGAATGAATGAATGAATGAAAACCGTAGAGTTAGTGTAATGGCGTCTTATATTTATTGTATATACATGTAGAAACAACAATGATTTTCTAAAGATTTAAATTCTTTTAACATATAATGACCAATGTGTCGGAAAAATGAAAAAATAAACAAATAAAATAAAAATAAATGCATAAATAAATAAAGAAAAGAAACAGAAATGAGCTAAAATCTTTACAAAAAAGACACAACGACCTATATTAGTTTTCCAGGTGGGGCTTGATTATATAAATCTTTGTAAGGTGTGCACGGGAGAGCAGCTGGGTAGAACAATTGGCTAGCTGGATAGGTTCCTAACATGTTGAGACTCGAACCTATCGGAGGTGCTCTGATAATAATTTGGTGCCAATATAACCTGCCACCGGAAACTGATAGCATATGGAATTAAATTTTAAGGCGCGATCAGTGAATTTGTCTTACTTTTATGTGTTACCATTGGATCCGATCTATATAAAAATCATAGTATCTTTTTAAAGTATGTTTCAGTGTTAACATTGAACCCGATATAGATAAAATCAAAGTCTGGGAGTCACATTACATGTACCCATTGCTATTGAACAAGTTGTTTTAATGCAATAAAGTATTTGTAGTTATATGAGAGTTGCTCGAAAAGTGTAATATTATAAAGGCTTAATTAATTAATCAATAAATTGTTAAGTCTATATTTGTGTGCGAAGTGGGTGGAAAACAGCAATCACGTGTAACCAAATATATTTTTGTTGATAAAATCTCTAAAATAAGTATGACCGCTAATTAATATGAAATTTAATAGTCCATATTTAAGACTCCTGTTTGATTTTTGATATATTATAATTACAAATATTTAAATAATACAATATTGTTATAAGAATTCATTTATTGCTCGTACCCTTGACAATATAAACGTTGTTATTTTATTGTGCACATGAATAATATAATATAATAAAAGTAGTATAATGATGTACAACACATAATGTCAGATAATATATCTATTTAATTATATAAAATATTATACAGTCTTACCATTAATAAATGTATACAAACATCCAACGTATAGATATAATATCAAAATCATTCTTCTGTCTCAACTTACGGGGAAGTTTCTGTCACAATAAAAGCGGAAAATTTAACCCATATTTTCGCAAAATCTAAAATCTGTTAAATCGGTTAACAGTTTCCTTTATGTTATTAAAAGAATTATACATAACAGATGGCATGTATAAACGCGTTCAAGTGGAAATTGTTATTGTTAGTTAATCGCCAACCAACATAACAGTGTTCGTTGACCTTATACGTAAAAGCAACAATGAGAAATTTCATTTAAACTTGGTGAATGATGTATAAAGAATTTTTATATCTTTATTTGCATTTCAAAAGAAACGATAGCAGCACATGGAAAAAACATCTTTTGATTGTCATTAAATTGTTCAATTTACATTAATGAAAACATTCATTTCTTTCATTTTGTTTAAATTAAAAAAAACTGCTGGGGTGGGACTGGATATGTTACTACATGTCAACAGAAATGATGGGCACATTAAGACGTTATTCTATGACTTGATTAATGGTTGTAACGGATCATTATTTACCGTCGGCATTCATAAAACTTTTTGTATAGCCAATTGTCATGTGAAATTAGAAAAAAATCTATATATCCTTTATTGCTTTTTTTTCTTATATTCCATTATGACCAGGTTGTATATGTATAATATCCGTCATATGTTGCGGTTCGGACCGGAATATCCGTCCTGAGGGAACCCGCCCATTGGGCGGTAACGGGGCTTGCCGAGTTACCGCCCATAGACGTGTTCCAGAGGGACGGATATTCCGATCCGAACCGCAAACATATGTCAGATATTTTTTCTTGCATATTCTGCCATTTTATTTCATATTTTGAAATGGTTTACCTCAATGATATATGTTCATTGAAATTAGTCATTTCACCACGATTACATATCTGATTCCAACAACTAGTTACTGGAGAACCCTTTTTAGCGACAGTAAATTGGCAATTACATTTGGCAACACTGTTCCAACATCTGATGAAAAGCAGTAACTTGGCTTTTGGACGGGGAAATCCTGGGTAAATGCCGTTTCATGGGCACAACAAGATGATGAATCCACATCCCTCTCTAACTACCGCCCCCTCTCCCCTAACCTCTGACAGTCTTTATCCCAGCTACTTTTCGTTACCACCACATTCACAGTGGAAAACAAGAAAGATCTAATGTCTCACTCAGCTTATCCCCATAACGTTTAATGGACAAGGAAGAGGTAGGGGGAACCTCCTAAAGCACTTGTAAACCATGAACAATGCCAATCATAGCAAATGTTCAAAATCCTCTGCATATAAAGATATGCTGTCAAATTCAAGTTCCCTTTACATTCTAAACTAAAACAGCAAGTGAACTAACCAAGATATATGAAAAAAAAAAGCAAATATTTTTTAAATCATTTTTTTTATTTCATTCATAACATTTACATACACGATTCAAGTCAATATTGCTTAAAGCACTTTTGTGTACATAGAAATATGAATTAATTACATAATAGTAAATGGAATCTCTTGAAAAATATTCATTCAAGAGTGAAAAAGCAGTTCATAAACCAAATTTTCTTTTTTTATAAATGAGACTTCAACAAACTAGAAAACAAATATCTAATTAGCACAAGATTTAGTAAATAGCTAATGCATACAAATGTTTGTATCTTAACCCTTACATGCTGGACTGTCACAGTTAAGTCTTTACCAACTGTATAGAGCTAGGCAAGCATGCACATCCATACAGTTTGACCAGGACAGGCTGTATACAGTTGGCTGACCAAGTACACATTTTCATATATATTCTCAAAATTGATAATGGACAATTCCAAAAATGGCACATGGACATAGATAAGTCACAATGGCTACCAGCACAAAGAAATCTAAAGTAAATATAAACATATTATGTGGAGATATATGCTACAAGAGTTTTGCAATTTTGAAATCCACTAACAAATTGAATATAAAATCCATAAAAGTTTAACAAATTATGTTACTACAAATAATATTTGACCGAAAATACACAAATAAGATGAAAATCAACTTTGAAAACAATCTTTTTCCTATTTTTTTTTTATTTTGAATTATGATGCATATTTATTCATATATAATGGTATTTGATAGATGGCCACTAATGAATGATAGTAATGCAAATGACTCAAAGTGCACTGAAATACTTACGTAAGTTCATGTATTTAGACTTTTTTTGTTATAGAGGAAGAACAATGTGTACAAGTTAACTCCCTTTCACTTATTACCCTATACATTATCTTACAGAATTTCCATCATGAATCATCAAACTACACTTAAAACACATTTTTTGAGTCTAGTAAGAACAGTATTTTTAATTGTTGGTTGTTTTCACAAGAGTAGAGTGTCTCTTGTCCACTGAAGTTATTAAACTTATTCCACACTGAATTACTTTCACAGAATCTGATATAAGTGTCTTCATGTAACAGTGTTCTAAAATGTTTATGTTCCTGTCATAATAAGAGATGTGTTTATGTTCCTGTTCGCATTGGGGGTGACACAAGTATCACACCATCACCTCTAACAAACAACATAGGGATGTTCCTCTTTGTTGACTGAAAAAATAAAGAACAACATTGAAGAAATTAACATTAAGCCCAGTGTATTCTATTATCAGAAAACCCTCATCTGTACTAAGAAAGTGCCTGAACTGTGAAAGCTCTCATCTGCACTGAAATATCTCTCCTGCACTAAAAAAACAACATGAAAACCCTCTTTCATCTGTAAAGGGAATTGGACTGAATTGAGAAAGCTCACATCTGTGATGAGGAAGTTAGGATACATTATGTTAACTATTCACATTTGTTGATATTACATGTCATTGATTTAAATAAAATTGACCAAATTTTAATTCTGTTTAGAGCTGTCATTGATTCAGTCAAAGGCATATCGTCGATATATCGATATCGGATTGCAGACATCGACAATACACCGATATATCGATATATTTACCTGTATTTCACATCCATATTTGTATGAATTATTTTAGTAAAAAGAACACCTTCTTTACATGAGCTTTTGATGTGTTTTGTTCATAAATGTCCCCTGATCATATTTTGCATACATTTGTGCTATGAAATATGTAAATTATCAAAGAAATATAAAACAGAGTATTAACTGTGGTTATTCATTTACTGGCCTCTATCCATATCTATACACCATCACAATAAGCAGAACACTTCAATGACTAAAGTTACAATATGGAATCACTATCTCACTTGACTATATACAGAGTTCAAACTTAAATGTATATTAACTAGAATGACTAGTTACCATGACTAGAGTAGAAAAACATAAATGTTTCATAAAAAATTTCAAATTTGTGCATAAGTTTTGTATGTAGATGTTAAATAATAGTGACTGTTACAAGTCATAAAGTATTGAAACTAATGACACTTGAACACAGTGGATACAAAAACACAGTTGATATTAAGGATGCAAAGGAATGTGATTTTGAAAATATACATTTCTGGAAATAACTATAGTTTAATAGGAATTTATTATATTGAAATACAATTTTATTGACTTTTTATGACATTTTTTTAATTTTACTGTTCATACAGAACAAGGATTTGTCAAACCATTGTTACGCTTTTACTTGACAAAGTTACAATAATAATTTATTTTATTTATATACATATTTATTTTGTAAATGATAGGAATTTTACAAATTATTTTATTTTTAAGTAATGGCCTACTGATTATATTGTTTTTACAAGCGGTGCTGACACTTGACTGATGTTTAACCTTGCCCCAATCAAGATGTGATCTCAAGTTAAATGTATTGCCGCTTAATGGCAGTCATACAACGAATCTAACTTGGGACTAATTTTGAGTTAACAACCCCCTTTTCATCAACAAACCCAAAATGTTCCCAAATGGGAATTGGCTTTGAAATTTTAGCCTTCTTTTTGTCCCAACAATTTTAATGTTTTCAGCCATTTTTAAGTGTTGCTAAGATATGGGCATAGACTAAAATGTAGACAATTGTAAATGATGAATCTGACAGATCAAGACAGTTTAAGTATAATGATAATTGATTTAGATCTATTGGATTTTTATTTTCAAATTATTTTTTAAAATTGGATTGTTTTGTATATATAATTTCCAACACAGAGAAATATGTTTTTTCTGAAGTGCAAATACAGCTAGATCCATACAGTAGCTGTCCATTTAGTAGTCACGGTATAGTTTTAGACATGTCCTTTTGACAGGGCACCTGTTTCCGTTTATGTTTTGAGTTAATTTTCGTCTTTTCCACAGACTTTTAGTAATAAGTTAAAGTATCGATTTTCTAAAATTTGAATCGATAATCGATCGACAAAAAAATATCAATGATACATCGATATCGCTTCTATCGATGACAGCTCTAATTCTGTTATCATTTCATTTTGTATTTTCAATTTTTATTTTTGACCATATATCATAAGTTTTCGCGGATATTCAACAGGAATCAAGTGTCCCTTCTTTAAAAAAGTGCATTTGACTATGTGTATTCTTATAGCAATGTTAAAATACTAAAATAGAGGCTATTCATGCTCATAGACATACGGATAAAAATATTACCAAGCTGGGACATATATTTATATAGTCTATGCTTAATGAACACCCATTAAAGCACAAAGATAGCTTTTGCTGTCGTGTACGGATCCCAGACATATCACATGTTGTGCCCTTAAAAGGTTAAATTTTGAAGCATAACAAGAGCTGTCAGTAGGACAGCAACGCTCGACTATTCTTAGTGCTTGATAGTAAAATAATGCTTGATACAGTTACCTCCTCCTGTTAACAGGTTGGGGTCATGATGGTGAACAAGTGTGCAAAGTTTCAAAGCCATATGTCAATGGACTTTGAAAATATTTGAACTATTACAAAAACTTTAACATAAATTCTAAGTCAAAAAAGGGGCATAATTCTGTCAAAATGCTTGATAGAGTTACCTCCTCCTCTTTACAGGTTGGGGTCATGATGTTGAACAAGTGTGCAAAGTTTCAAAGCCATATGTCAATGGACTTTGAAAATATTAGAACTATTACAAAAACTTTAACGTAAATTCTAAGTCGAAAAAGGGGCATAATTCTGTCAAAATGCTTGATAGAGTTACCTCCTCCTGTCTACAGGTTGGGGTCATGATGGTGAACAAGTGTGCAAAGTTTCAAAGCCATATGTCAATGGACTTTGAAAATATTTGAACTATTACAAAAACTTTAACATAAGTGGTTATGCCGACGCCGACGCTCGGGTGACTGCAATAGCTCTACTTATTCTTATCGAATAGTCGAGCTAAAAAGGTAATGATTTAACTCTGTGCAATTTCCTCATAGTTTAAGCCAAAGAAGTGAATTCTGAGCTGAAAGTTGGTCACTATAATACACTGTAAAGCAGTCAATGAGCACAAATTGTATAGTAATCTGTACATCATTTGGGATATAAAATCACATGTCAGTGATTTTCCTGCTTATAAAACAGACTCTGATAAAGGCCTCTTTCCAATTGAAATTTTCTTTAAAAGCCTGCAATTTTTCCAAAAATCTGAACTTAAACCTGCTTTTTTACTTCCCAAATTAGCAATTTCAACGATTTTTCCCAAAATCAAGAGGCTAAGGCCTCTTTCCAATTAAGTGAGAAAAATCACTGCATGTGAATATAAAGTTTCTGTAATCACAAAGGTAAGTCAATCATTAACAATTTATATACCTTATAAATTTCCTCATATGTTTCCTCGTCAATCTCTACTGTGGTAACTGTCTCTTCAACATCTCCCATTATCATGTTTAAATGTTGATCATATGCCTGTAAAACAAAAAGGTATGCTTAACTTCAGGCTAAACAAATACCATTCAAACATACTAATACTGTAAAATCATTATTATTCGTGGTGCACGTATTTTCGTGGTTTTCGTGGGTAGGTCAATCCAAGAATTTAAGATCCGACGAAATTTTATCCCAACAAATACTTCTTACCCAGTCTCTGTTCTATATATATCAAACATGCGTCGGCTCTTTTCTGGCCGATATTTCGTAAAATGGATGTAAATACAGACAGATACAGTAATCAGGTAATTGACATATTAAATCCGTTTGCATTATTTAAGAAACTTGAAGAAAACTCGATTATATATATATCCTTAAAATGTCGCATATACATACTTGATCGTTGTAGTCTACTAGGACTTGATTGTTTTAACAAGAATACTTGACATAATCGAGTAAATTTGGGAACCCAGGCAGTGCAATAATTAGCGCTAATTTAAATTATTAATTTAAAAAAAAACTTTGATATTATTGTCGTAAGTACACAAAACTAAAAAAAAAAAAATACGCCACCGACTTTTACAAGATCCACATATACTAGTACTCGTGTTATTCACCGATACACAGACGCTGTGACGTTGCGTGTAGTTACTGTCAAATATGTTAAGACCAATTCAAGGAGTAAACTTTTAACTCGCTGGTTAAAACCTGTCAAATGTCGTATAAATTATGCGATGTTTACATCGGCGAATTACAGGGGCAATGTGTCCAATGGAGGTGCATATCATGTCACTTAAATGTGTTAATTGCAGTCAATTATCGGCAGTAACTGTGCTATATTAGAGTTATGCCCAGAGGCAAGGATTAAATTAATTGACAAGCGCTGTGTGACAAGTAAAGATATGTACATGTTGTAAGTAAAAATGTTCGGCGATTCAGTTTAAGATTACTTTGCATTAGGTTACTGAATTTTTTTTATACAAGAAAACGAAAATCCACGAATTTAAGAACCCACGAAAATGCCCGTTTTGATAAAACCACGAAATTTCATGCCCACGAATATAAGTGAATTCGCAGTATACAATGTCATTGAAATGTTAAAACAAGAGACAAGATTTGTCGGTTTCCAATGAAAAAGTGCATTTATTCATACAGTCAACTCCGCTTATAACAAATTCAATGTCTGAATCTGAATGGGACATTTATATATTGTTTGTTTTATCGGAAGTTCACTAAAAGTGAAGTAGCAACAACATGCTGACTTGTTTAGGTCGCCGTGAAGAAGCCATACAGGTGTAATCAGTATATTACAGCAGTGGTAATTTTATGCAGGGCATTTTATTGAACAATTTATTATGTACATGGTACATGTACATGTATTTGGACATGTAGGAAATGTCTGAAGTGCTTACTATTTGTATTCTTTTGTTATTTGTTTATTATTGTTTGGTTAATATTCATACAGAGAATTGATAATTTGGTAATTATCGGGTACATGTATTTACAGCAATTTATCAACTGAGGGTGCAAAAAACAAGTAGGAAATTATGTTGAGAGGAAAGTTATGTGTTTTTCACTGTTTGCAGGGGTTTACTTAAGGTTTTGACTTTCACTTGCCCGAAGGGCAAGTAACTTTGAAAATCTACTTGCCCCCAGGAAAAACAGGTTGCCCGATCTTAAATGTGAAGTTTGTTAATAATCAAAGCAAAAATTATGGGTAAAAATAAGATTTATTGCAGATCCTATCAACTTATGCCTCAGATAGTAAAATAGTCCTAAATTCCCTACTGTATATGTTTGTTTGCTCATTCACAATAGTCTAGGGGTCGACACAACTTTCTTTGCCAGGGATCCAATAGAAATCCCTGAGATTTAAAAACTCCTAAATGTCAGGGATTCCTCACATCAAAATAGTAAAATGAAAGTGAAGATTAACAATAGTCATGTCCGACATGATCTGTTAAGGCTTATAAAAATTACAGGAAATATTAGGCCCTATTCCAGATGACTTTTAAAATATATTAACATTCAGATGCTATCACCTTAAAAATATTTATTCCCTAAAACAACATTAAAAAGGAAACAGTACATTGATTGTTAAAATTGTGCTAGGTTTTAAATGTTTATTGTTGATTTCAAACAATGTAAAATATCAAAAATATGTTTGCTTTGTTTGCATTACCAAACTAGTAATGTACCTTTCAAATTTTATTTCATTTTTAAAAACAACAAGTTGCTCCAAGTCCATGACAGGATGTGTTATACTCAATTTAAATTGATTCCTATCCTCCCTGTTTGTATTAAAATTTTTTTGAAGTTTTAACCTATGTCACATCAAAGGGACTCACCCCATGCAGTAATCATACAGTTCAGAGCACTGACTGGTTCAAAGAACTGTCAGACGAAATATACGTCATTTGCTGTATGTTTCACCTAAGGAGGTTTTTTTCTGTTTTGGTCGTAAATTAGGCATGACCTAGAATGACCTCAGATAACTTATAGTTACACAATATGCTGTGATTTACCAAAAAGGATTTTAAACATTTTATGGATTATTTTATTCTGTTTATTTATAGGTAAGAATATTTCTAAACATTGCCGTAGGGGAGAAAGGAAAATAAATTAACAACAGTTCAAGACTATTATGGTTTTTCGTCAAGATTTGTGTAAAAAAGATTACTGGTGATGAATTTAAAAAAAAAATCTATAGGCCTATTGCAAATGAGTTGACGCCAGTTAGTTAAATTTTGACTGTATGAAGAAAACAATAGCGTACAGGATTCAAAGGAGTAGATTTTTACGGCCCGATTTTTCTGTTCTTTCTTGAACCTTGCAGTTGTGTCAGTCTTTATTGACATAACTCATCTCGAATTTTTGTGATTTTATGCTTTTTATTCAGAAAATCAGATGTTTTCTTTGCCGTGGCTTTTTCTTTAATTGCTGTAGATTTTTTTCTTTTAAAAATGAGAAAACTTTCGGCGCCGCCCGCCATTTTGAAAGGAAAGCAAAATAGAAAAAAAGGTTTTTTACGTAATTTGATGGGTTGATAGGAGTCCAACTACAATCAGAAACAGTTATAAATACACTTGTTTGACTGTAATATGAACGGAAAGAAAAGTATTATCGGCAAAGGATATCAAAGCTAATAGAAGGCATAACGAAAATTCACTTGCCCGCCGGGCAATTTGCTTTCAAATTTCACTTGCCCGCAGCGATTTCTACCCCACGCGGGCAAGCGGGCGTCCGCTTAAATAAACCCCTGTGTTTGGGGCAAAAAAAATGGTTCGCTTTAGCCGAAAATATATTTTAAGCGAGTACGTATGAAGCAATAGAAGGAATCGGCCAGGGATTTCATATTTAGTGTGCAATAAATGATAATTCCTTATAAGCAAGTTCATCATAAGTGGTTAACTACATGTAAGATTTCCTAACTTTGCATACTTAAACAAGTTCATCAATGACAAAAGACAACAAGAGCTGTCACAGGAGACAGCGAAGCTCGACTAATAAAATACTGGACGCAGTAAGGAGGACAAAACTATGAAAGAAAAATCAATTATGTATAATTATGTATTAAGTTATAGTAAAAAAACATTTGTTAACATAAATTCCAAGATCAAGGGGAATAATTCTAGAAATAGTCACACTAGAGTTATGAACCTTGTCACACAACATGTGTGTAATGATAAGAAATATATATTTGAAGTTTGAAGTAGATACCTTAAAAAGTAAAGAAGTTATAATATTTCTTAAAGAAAATCCTAAGTTCAAAGAGAGATAAATCTGTAAATATTGCTTCAAGAGTTATGAACATTGTCACATAAAAACTGAATTGATGATAAGGAATAAGTATTTGAAGTTTGAGGTAGATACCTTTAAATCTAAAAAAGTTATAGAAAAAAAAAATATTTTTTAAGGAAAATTCTAAGTTCAAGGGGAGATAACTCTGAAAATATTGGTGCTAGAGTTATGAACCTTGTCACATAAGATGGGGATGATGATAACGTACATATATTTGAAGTATGAGGTTGATCCCTTAACAAATAAAGAAGTAACAGTAAAAAATAGTATTTTTTGAGGAAAATTCTAAGTTCAAGGGGAGATAAATCTGAAAATATTGGTGCTAGAGTTATGAACCTTGTCACATAAGATGGGGATGATGATAACGTACATATATTTGAAGTATGAGGTTGATCCCTTCACAAATAAAGAAGTAACAGTAAAAAATAGTATTTTTTGAGGAAAATTCTAAGTTCAAGGGGAGATAAATCTGAAAATATTGGTGCTAGAGTTATGAACCTTGTCACATAAGATGTGGTTGATGATAAGGAACATATATTTGAAGTTGATACCTTAAGAAATGACAAAGTTATAGTGAAAAATATTTTACTGCACCAAAACTTTAATCTGAAATCTGGACGCGGACGTGGACGCCGACGCCGGGGCGAGTAGGACAGCTCTCCATATTCTTCGTATAGTCAAGCTAAAAATACAGTATTGAGTGATTTTTCACCTGTATGATCTTGACCTCTGGGCTGCTTAACAAGATATTGTTATCTATCCACAAATAATAAAGTTCTGCACAGATCTATTTTCAATCATGATGTTTTATGTTAGATTGTCACCCTGACCTGTGAGCTGGAGATTTTATAAGTTTTTACTATATACATATAAGGAAAATCAATGATCTCCAGGCCAATTTTAACCCCAGGGCCCTTATTTGAATAAAAATGATAGACACCCATTAGAAGATGTTTCATGCTACATATCTTAGCTCTAGCTCTAAAGGCTTTTTAAAAGAAGATTTTTAAGTTTTTACTGTATACATAAAGGGAAAAACAATGACCCCCTGGGGTGGGGCCAATTTTGACCCCAGGGCTTTTATTTGAACAAACTTGGTAGACAACCACTAGAAGATGTTTCATGCTTAATAGCTAAGCTCTAGCTATTTGGGTTTTTTTAAAAGAAGATTTTTTAAGTTATTTTCTATATACAAATAAGGAAAATCAATGACACTCCCCCCCCCCCCCCGGGCGGGGCCAATTTTGCCCCCTGGGCATTTCTTTGAACAAACTTGGTAGACACTGACTAGATGATGTTTCATGCCAAATATTTAAGCTCTAGCTCTTATGGTTTTCTAAAAGAAGATATTTTTTAAGTAGTTCTGCTTGGAATTAAGTTCTTTGGACAATTTTAAAGTTGACTACCAAAGAAACATTCCTGTGAGGTTTGGATGAAATTGGCTTAGTGGTTAATGAGGAGATGTTTAAAGTTATAGTTTACGGATGGAGGCTGGACGAAAAGCGATCACAAAAGCTCACCATGTCACTTTGTGACAGGTGAGCTAATAAATAAATAAAGGAAATTGAAGCATGAAGATTAAATTACATGTAATCTGCCTCTAAGTTCTCTGTCATTTCTCATCTTTACATAGATTCTCTCATCTAAACTCAGCCTGATCAGATCCAATGGCTCTTCTACTGTCTGGGCAGGTACTTGCTGAAAACATAATATAAAGTTTAAAAGATCAACTTTATGCCAAAAAAAAACTCACAAGAGTATTAGTATTTTATATAAATTAAAAACAAAGAGAAAATACTTTCTTAAATGTGCTGTTAAGTAAAATTTAAAATGATCAACAAATTATGCTGGTTAGAATGCAAAAAGGTCAGTTTTTTGTACATTTCTTTGATGGAAGTGGCTAGTCATTTGGGCCCATACTGTTAGCCAAAAGTTCTAGCCGTATGTGAATCATGTCTGTCTAGCCTATATGCAGTGTTCAGGAAAGCCATACAGCATTTTTTCAATATTAACAAATAAATGCAACGTTGAACATTAGTCAGTAACTTGCACATCTTAAATTACATTTTCACAAAGAATGATAATATATATTTTTACTACTTAATTTTATCAATGATATTTGGCAATTTATATTATGACAACTTGACAAGATATATCACCTTTGGATAGATCTATCTATTGCTTGAAACTGAAACTTCTCTTGGTTTGAAATTTTGAAAAGTATTGCAATAAACAATTTTTCAAAATTCAAAATATGATCATTTACGTATAAATCCTTTTTTATAAATAAGCACATTAAAAATAACGTAAAAACAACATATGTGATAAGAGATTAACAGAAAATGGCGGACGGGATTTTCCAAACGCCGACGCATGCGCAGTGGTCCCTCTTCCAATGATAGGTTGAACACCACCAATTTATTCGTTTCTGTTTACGCTACAAAATACCTGCATTTACTTAATATGAAATTAGGTGCTACTTATGGCGTGGAAAGCTCTTATGATTTATGATTTAATTAAGCATAACATGTTTAGTGTACATGTTAACCAGTTCTATCATGCAATTCGTTAATAAGTAAATGCAGGTATTTTGTAAACAGAAACAAATAAATTGGTGGTGTTCAACCTATCATCGCAAGAGGGACCACTGCGCATGCGTCGGCGTTTGGGTCCGCCATTTTCTGTTTATCTCTAATTCACATCTGTTGTTTTTACGTTATTTTTAATGTGCTTATTTATCAAAAAGGATTTAAAAGTATCTTTTTACATTTATCATCGTTACTATAGTTCTTATGAATGAAATGAATGTTTATTTTCTGATTTTGTACATCATTCTTTCACCGGAAGTGTTATTTAGCATGCGTCTGCTAGCAATAGTCTGAATTAAGTAGACGCTCAATTAAAGCGCTCTGATATCTATATTTAGCTCAAAAGGATTTTAAAATGGCGGCGCCCAGTTAACTAAGGATTTTTTCACAGCTCATTAGGTATAGGATATATATATTTTTGAAATTTTCATTTAATTTTAATTTAATTTCATTTGAATTGATACGCGTCATACATGTTATCTAAGAGCGCTACAGCCTTCGCGGGGCCTTTGGCCCCGCTCGGACTTTCCGCGTATTAACGAATTGCATGATAGATCTGGTAAACATGTACACTAAACATGTTATGCTTAAATCATAAATCATAAGAGCTTTCCGTGCCATAGGTAGCACCTAATTTCATAATATGAAATTAGGCAAAGCCTATCAACGGGGAAGTCCTTTCATTCTTTCCGTTTTAAAGGTGTCATTCGGTATAACATGCACCGCTTCCGTTTTCACTCGGAACACTCGACGATTATTATTGATCCGAAAAGTTGAGATTTGTTCCGTTATCGGAATACCCCGCCTATTATCATTGAGTTTCATTGTAAATGGCGGCGCCCGACTAGGACTGACACTGAAAATTTCATTGATAGGTATAGAATTCTATATATTTTTAATTGTTTTTTTATTTTATTTTCTTTTAAATATACACGTGTAGTCTATAGCCGGGCAAGCCAAAGCCCGGACCTGCTTCGCGGGCCCGGTCTTTGACTTCCCCGTATTAATCAAAATACTTAAAAATTTAGCTTCTATCTATTTAATTCCAGTTCATTTTCGTTTTTCCAAAACTTCCTTAAACTTTCGATATCATAAGAGAAATCTAAACGTGCGTCACTTATCATGGTTTCATTCCCTCTTCAACTTTCATATTATTTTTCTGTCGCGAAAACATATGTCAATAAGCCAAAACTTCATTTTTCCGCATTAAAGCTTCACATTCTTAACCTGAACAATATCTTTTACATAATGTTCATACCCCATAATATCGTACAGATATGTCAACGGGTTAAAAAGTAGATAAATCATCAAAGAAAAAATTAGAAAATTTACCGGTTCCGTTTCGTCCGCCATTTTAGCGTGCTTATTTTATTTGCACGTTGTGAAAATTTGATTACAACAGAGCAAGTTACACTAAATGTTATTATGAATCAATCAAAGGCTTTCGTTGAAATTTGCTATATAAAACTATTTAAGATTTCTAATCACGTCATCTTTTAAAGAAATATTTCATTAAGAATTTTTAAACTTAACTCCCAATTTTAGTCAATAATTTGCTAATTTTGATATGGGTAGATTTACCCATATATTTATAAACACAAGCTTAAAAATATTCGTGTCTTAAAAAACTTATTATGAATTGTTTTGAAATGTTTTATTTACACGGATACTAACGCATATCTGTCTCCAAATAATGTTCAAATATATGGAGAATGGGAGATCCCTACTTAATCACTTAAAATGTTGATAATAATTGTGGACTCAGTTTTTATTGAGGCAGTTCATCAAGTCAAGTCAAGTCAAGTAAATTTTATTTATAAGTCGGATACATCAACAATAAACATAAGCTCTGATGAGCTTTTTACACCGACTACAATAATATAAAACACATGTTTAAGATATGATAAATGACAAAATGGTTATGATAAAATTAGACAAATATCATTGCATTAACAAATAGAGTATACAAACAGCACTGTACTAGCATTCATCAATAGCATACAAAAGTAAGAGGTAATCCATATTAGATCTAATAATAAAAAACCATTAATATACATACTAAAAGTTAAGATCACACATCACAGCTTATATAAGACACATAAACATTTAAGCAGAGGAACATCAGGCATGCATACACACAATAAAATGCATTGACAAACCAACTTATAAAAAGAGCAAATATAATATATAAATAAATAAAACATGTTAGGACTAAGCAATAGAAAGACAAGGTTAAAATATGCATAATGAACATCAATCCTGACATTAACATACACACAAACATTCAAGTTATACCTGTATATAAAAGATGATACATAGCACATAAAAATAGAAATAAATCTATTACAATAAAAGCACACAAAAGCATAGCACTTAAAAAATAGAAATAAATCTATCACATTAAAAGCACACACAAAGCAGCTCATATCAAAGCACAGTTATAAAACAAATGCAAAAGTAAAAGTAACTAAAAAATTGAAACATCCAGCATGTCGCTGCCAACATTTTGGTTTTTTTCTTTTTGATGATGTACATGCGTTATGTGTATTACATGAAGTACAGGAGCAGTTCTCCCTTTGCCAAGTATTTATCAATGATCTAAAATGGTTAAAAGATGAAGTTTGTCTAAAATTATCTGGAAATTGATTCCAAAGTTTGGCAGCGGCATACCGGAAAGATTTCTTACCAATATCTGTCAGTTATTGGTAAAGGTACCTCAACAATATTGGTGTGTCTAAAATTATATTTCGAATGTTTAAGATGTAGTAAAATCATTTAAATAAACAGGAAACATATCATTTAGAATTTTGTATGTTTCTAAAAGCAATTGCTCTTAATCTCCTAACTTTCAAAGAAATAAGGCCAGACTTCTCAAGTAGTTGATCATAGTTACTGTTAAAATCATCATAAATAAATCTCAAAGCTCTTTCCTGAATTTTTTCTATTTTCCTAGTGTTTGATTCATTGGTAAAATGCCAAGTAAGAGGACAATAATTAAAAGTTTGACATGACAAAAGAGTAGTATATTGTGAGTCTGCTTAAACTAATTAAGATGTTTACCAATTCTCTTTAGTACATTCAGTTGTTTAGAGGCTTTCCTACATATATTTGACACATGTGAATTAAAATTTAACATAAAATCTAAGTTTACACCAAGCAGCTTTACTTCATCGTCACATGATATTTCTATATTTTTGAATTTAAAATTAATTTTCTGCTGGTGGGTTTTCTTCCCAAGAGCTATTGCCTTGGAACTTCTCAGGGTTTAGCCTTCAATTTGATTTTTTGAGAACCAGTCTATCAAAGTTAAACTATCTTTTTCTAAAGTGCTAACCAAATCCGTTTTACAAGTGCTTGAGTAAGAAAGAGTGTTATCATCCGCATAGTTATACAGTTGACTTTTATTTATGAAAAAGAAAATGTCGTTTATAAAAAATATTAAACAAAATCGGTCCAAGTATTGAGCCTTGTGGGACGCCTTTAATTATGTTTTGATAATCACTACATATATTTCCTATCTTAACACATTGTTGCCTATTAGACAGATAACTTTTAATAAGATTGAGTGATTGTTCAGACATACCATAAAATTTCATTTTAAGTAATAATAAATCACGAGGCAAGCAGTCGAAGGCTTTTGAGAGGCTGAAATATGAAGATTTTGTGATAAATAGTTTCAAGATAATGAGTCGAAACCATTTTGACATTTAAGGCACCTGTGACATTGACCTTTGACAAAGTGATCCCAATAGTGGACATCTACAAGTTATGACCAATCAGTATGTGAAATATGAAGACCTTGTGATAAAAAGTTTTTAAGATGAGCTGAAACCATTCTGACATTTAAGGCACCCGTGACCTTGACCTTTGACCTAGTAACCCAGAATAATTAGGGGTCATCTACTAGTTATGACCAATCAATATGTGAAATATGAAGCGTTTGTAATAAATACTTTTCAAGATAACAAGCAGAAACCATTCTGACACTTAAGGCCCATGTGACCTTGACCTTTGAACTAGCAATTTCAAAATCAATGGGGGTCATCTACTAGTTATGTCCAGTCACTATGTGAAATATGAAAACTTTGTGATAAATAGTTTTTAAGATATATAATCAGCGAAAACCATGTTGTCTACCGACGGACGGACGGACCGATCGACCAACATAAGCAAAACAATAAATCCTTCTTCGAAGGTAGGGGGGGGTATACAAATGTAAAAATGTTTAAAACAGGGGTAATGGGAATCTAGGTACTAAGATATGGGACGAGACAATGCTAGATATGACTGAACTGAATTGCTCTGAGATAGGCTGTATGGCAACTCAGGGATAAATATGTTCAAATAGACATACTTAAAAATTGAAAAGTCCTATGATGAATGTAATGATATTTGATGAATGTAATGATAATGTTCTACCGGCATGTACAAAACTAATCAAAGAAATAAAAGTTCTGTTCTGTCAAAGGTACATGTGATTTGATTGGCAAGATGGACTGCAGTCTACATGGATGTCTCACGTTAGGCATATTTGTCTTTCATTGGCCAGAATTATATTGACTCTGCATCTTGACTCCTTTGTTTAGATAATAATGATACAAATTAATAAACAATTTAACCAATAAGCATTTCATAATCAACTTTTTAATTGCTTGAGTTATAAAATAAACGAATGCACAACACTGCATTGATTACAGCATAAAGGACTTTTAAGTACAAGTTTCAAAAGGAAAAAAAGGAAACTATCTAAAGAAACATTTTTCTTGAAATATGCGCCTGAAAATGCAAAGAGATACTAGCGTTTAACATTATTGCAGGCATTAATGTGTGGAAAATGTGCATCTCAAATGCACTGGTCATAGTCCACCATTGAATATGAAGATTATTTATAAACTAAAAAAGTAGCGATGAACATGCAGTTTTTCCGTAAGCTAAAGGTTGCAAAATGTAAACATAGTAGCATTTTGACTTCCATACAATATACTTATTCATTATAATTGACTTCCATACAAAATACTTATTCATTATAATTATACCAATTGCAAAATCAAAGCACATAAGGCGCTGAATTCGTTTAGGTCACAGAATGTCAGAAAGGTGAAGGTTGTGAAATTATAAACCAATTTGTTTTTGTATAGTGCCACCAATGCTTTCCAGTGTTTTAACTGTTCATAGTAAATTGGCTATAAGACTAATTGCAACACTGATATTCAATTCAAAGTTTATTTGACTTAAACAATTAAAGAAATGAGTTGCCCCTAACTTGGATTTGAACTCCAGACCTCTCGAATCCTAAGCGAGCGTCAAACCCCTCGGCCACGGTGAAGTTATATGTCAACGGGCTGAAGAAAACCATATTATTCTAAATTAGGGTTTGTAACTCTTATTATTTCGACGCTAAACCTGTTGTGATGTTTACAGATGTAAATAATCATGGAGCTTACTATAAGCATGTATATTTATAAAGAATAAAACAATATTAGAAATCTCCGACCATTCGGGAACTAATTTGCTTGAAAATTAATGCGCCTGTCATTTGACAATCTTTAAGCAGTGATCTCCCCTGATTTTTTTCGGCGTTAGTGTGCGTATAAAGGGAAGTAACCGCTTCAAAAAAGCGGACTACTTTCGGCATTTGCAATTAAGAGCATCAAGGTCGGAAATTTCGCTACCATTATTTGTTTGGTCTGACGACCCAAACAAATAAAAAACTAAATATGCAAAAGATACTGTAGGTAATGTATATAGCAATCAAAATGTTTTTGGAAATTGTAACATGATACCAAAAAAATAAACAGTTTTGAGATATAAAAATTATAGCATTTATGTGGCATAATGGGCCTTTAAGGGGAGGTCAGATATCATTATGCTCAAAACTAAAGCAAATCTGTCACCATTGCCTGACTTATATTCATATAACGTTTAAAGTAAAGAAAAGCATTCCGACTGCATAATTGAAACATTTCAAATGTTAATTTTGATCTAAATCTTTTCTCTCCCACATGTTTATTAGTCTGTAACCACCCGTACAGTTTAACAATACTGTTGTCCGTCGGCTGTTTATATTTTTCCTATGAAAATTTTCCGAAATCAAAGGAAGAAGTTATTTGTATAATTCCACTAATTTCATAGTGTAAAACCGTAGATTAAACAGAAAATAACCAGCCAGGCGACAATCAGGCTGTAAATTTACTTTGGTTATGTTACATGATAAGTGCATATAAATACCGCGTAAATTCTTGTATAATTTTAGATAAATATACAGCGCTTATATACGAAAGCGTCCTAGCGCCAACTTTTAAAAGTAAATACATAAATAGAAAATACCGTAAATAAATAAATGATAAATAAATAAATAAATAAATAAATAAATATATAAAAATAAATAAATAATATAAAAATAAATCCTAATAAAAAGTTACAAAAACCTTTATTTGAAGAACAAAAAACTTATAACGACTTTTCAACTCACTTATTTAGGATTTTCAATCTCCTGTCACGGAGAAAGAAAATCCTAATTAGGAGAAAAAAAATCCGATGAGGAAAAATAAAAACCTCATTTAGCTCTGTATAACTCCTAATTTTCTCTGAATTAGGAGTTTCGAAGTCCTAATTAAGTTTTTACTCGTAGTTAGAGATTTCAAAGTTCTAATTAGGCTTTTCTCCTAATATCGAATGACAATTAAAGTCATCATTAGGAATAAAAAAAATCTAATTAGGAAATGGTTTTCTTTTTACTATAAGATGTGTAACCAGGACGCTTACGTGGTAAACATTTCACTCTTTCTGCTAAATATTTAGTTTCAGTTTACATTCTACGAAAAACATGTATACCAATGTTTACAAAAATAAAATCAGGTCAAGGGAAGAAACATGAGCAAGTATTATGTATTAAAATAGGAACCTGGTTCGGGAGGAAAACTAAAACGTAAACAAATCGGGCGTTATGCAACAGCTGCTGTAACACTTAGACAATAAGGCGAAATGCATAAAACACGCCCTTATCCATAGCTTGTTATCCATTTTTGATAATTTGTCAATTACTTGACGGCCTAGAAAAGTATAAAGTAGTCAACAAACCAAGCAGGGATTTTCAGACTGAAGTTTTTGAATTTTTTTCTGCCTTATATTTTTAATTGAATAACACTTTGTTGATACAAAATTGTAAGTTTTAAGAAAAATCTTTTTGTAACATTTTTACAACTAACACTGACGTGGCTTTTCGGTGCTTTGTTGTTGTTTCGAATTGATGACAATATTTACGCGCTAAAAGACTGTTTTTAAACACATGCACAGTGTATTATTGTACAGTTGTATTTCTCAGCGGATTGAATTACATTAACCTACATTCAAGAAGCATGTGCGAAAAGGACAAAGCTAAAATTCCTTTGGTTTTGGTTCATCCTGAATCAAATAGTTAACTTTTTCCTCGATTTTTAATTGTCAATAAACAAATAGACGCATTATAGAGGTTAACTAGTCATAATTGTTCTAGATGCAAGACTTTGCGATCATCAATTATTATTTTTGCATAAAAATCTCTCACTCCTGTGGTCATTTAACGGGCTCGCAGGCTGGATCCCCATTCTTCTTATTTCATCTCCAGTAACTCATGTTCGCCTTCTAGGCGATTTATATTTTCCGATAAAGTTTTCATGAAGATCTGAAGGTGACCGATAGGAGATCACCTTATCAGTCAATCAGTGACAGCTTTGCTTTCATGAAGGTGGATAAGTTACTATTTTTAACCTTTGGGAAACCAGACACGTGTACGCAATTTTTACGTTTTGAAGATATTACAGGTGAACAAAAATGTCACCGCACATGCTATTTGGATAAATTACCTAGAATCAATGCTTAGATATCCAAAACTATAGAATATTTAGTTTCGCAGAAATTATATACCAAATATCTACTTAACATTTTGCTTTTTAAGGCAAAATTGTTGACATGTCTGACTTCGCGGATGACATCAAACAATTCTCTGTAAAGTTTGCAAAAAATAGCCCTGATTATCCAAATCAGCTCGAAGGCGAAAATGACTTACTTGGGATGATATCTACATATACAAGTATAAAAAGATTTGACTTTTAGTCAGATTGGCTGTATCCCAAGCTCCATCCATTACAATTATGAATACCACGATGTTTTAGAAACAGAGGTCCAATGTATCGCTGTTCTACACCGGACATGCTAAAGAACCATGTTCGCTTTTGGAACTGACTGAGCAACTGCTGTATACATGCACTACCTCTGGAATATGAAGCAACTAAATTTCTAGGGGCGTTAATTGTATATAAGGGCCACCGTTAAGCGGACAAAAAACTCATTCATTAAAATTTAAATGTTTTTGTTCCGGTATTCTGTATTTCAACTGTCTTAGATGTACCATGTCAAGTTTAAAATGATATGACTGTAATGTATCTTTTTAAACTGCACAATTGTCTAAATCCCGAACAAAGAAAATAATGAAGGAAAACACATGACGATCGAGGGTCTATGCATACGTTTCCTGCACATTGAACAATTAGTGCGGGAACTATCGCGCAGTTATTGACGTCATAAACGTTTAGTTAAAATATAACTGAATTTGTTTATAATAAGAGGATATTTTTCGTTTGCGTGAAATATGGAATATATTTTCACGAAACATGATAAAATGCCACATATTTTCACGAGCCGGTACGGCGAGTGAAAATATGTGGCATTTTATCATGTTGAGTGAAAATATATATCATATTTCACGAAAAACGAAAAAATAACCTTTTTATTTAATTTCATTATCAAAGAAAATGGTAACGAATCCCCTTGCTTGCTTCCAACTGCAATTGTACAGCGCGCAGTAATTTATGCGTAAGCACGCGCTGTTTGGCGCTACATTGTGACGTCATGTAAACAACTCTTTAAACGTCTGTAAAGCGTTAATTACTAAATTAAAGATATTGGTGTTCGGATTAATTTTCTTAGTTAGACCATTTTCTATCATGCTAGATAGTTTTCAAAACAATATTCAAGAAAAAGTTGTTTTGTATTCATCAGATTTTTCAAACAAAACGGCGAAAGAAGTCCCTTAAAATAAATATGAGTTTTGACTCCGCCCACTTTCATATTTATATTTCATATTTATTTTTTAAAATATGAAATATATTTGACTGATATAGCACCATATTTCATGGGTAAAATTAAATAATTGCCCATATTGCAAGAAAATGCTAAATTCAGATAGAGCTGATGTTGTGACAAAAACCTGAAATTGAATAAATGTATTGGATGTTTTTACCTTTTAATAAGAACATGTATATAAACATTAAAATTATTTAATAATGAACGTAAACTTGTCATCTTTTATCACCATTGGGTTCAGATCTATCTTAAGACCGTTGAAACGAAACATTGTTTTATATTAACCAACATTTACACTATAATTGGCCGATATGTGCAGCATTTGTTGTGATGTATCAGTTTACATAATATAAACTCCCTGCTCGCACGCGCGCCAATTCTTATGATAAATTATGGAGGCTGGAGCTTCGGTCGAGTTGTTAACTATTAAACCGTTGAAAGAAGAAAATGAGGTAACCGTGCCCACTGTGACGTCAGAAGAAGACGGGGCTCTTCTTACCGTGACGTCTCAAAGTGGAACCGAGGAGCAAGCACCGACTGAAGGCGATGTCGAAGTCGAAACAAAACCCGAACATGAGCATCCGGAAAGAGACCATTGGTCAAGTGATTTGGACTTTATACTGGCCTGTGTTGGTCTGGCCGTTGGACTTGGGAACATTTGGAGATTTCCGTATCTTTGCTATAAAAACGGTGGAGGTAAGTAATTTATTAATATAATTATGTAGTCATGAAAGCAACAATACATTTAGTAGTATATCCTAAGTAAGTGACTTAATTGTTTTAGAATGAAGAAATATAAGAGCCAGAAATTTCATGTAAACAGAAATTTATAAATGCTAGAGCAATTGCAAATATCAAGTGTTTATTATCAATCATCGTGGTAACATATTGTCGTTTATTTTGTGGTGTTTTTTCATTGAAGTATAGCTGTGTATTTTGTAGTATAATGTTATTATTGACTTTATGAACGGAAATAGTTGCAAATGAATAAATAAATGAATAAACGAAAAGTCAAAAATATGTTTTTATCACTAATCTTAAAATCGTAAACTTAATACTAGGATACAAATTAGCATATATTAGATTATGTTTTACATGTGATAAGTCACATATTTCACATACAATCTTCGTTTTGAGTGAATTATTTAAAGGGACATTATGCCATGTTTTTACATTAGTTTAATAATGTTTTGATAATTGATTAAGAGCATTTGAGATGTATAAAAACTGAAGAAAGTAGTGTTGAACGTGCAGTAATGTGTCGCAAATGTAGCAAAATGTAAACAAAGTAGTATATTGTCTACCATACAAAATATTAATTCACTATAATTATACCAATTGCAGAGCAAAAAAACAAAAGTAGCAAAAAAAAAAAATCATAATAAGGCAAACCAGTTTAAAAAAAAAACAAAAACAAAAAAAAAACAACCTCTGCAACACTTCTGAGGCATAATGTGCCTTTAAAGCAATCGTTATCAATTAGAAGCATACTCGAACTATTATTATTCGCGTAGTTATTCTTTGCTCAATATATTTATTTTTTTTGTCTCCAGGAGCTTTCCTAATTCCATACTTGATATGTCTTTTTACCTCCGGGATACCAATATTTATGTTGGAACTGGCGATCGGACAATTCATGAACATTGGGAGTCTGGAAGCTTGGGCTGGACTTGTACCGGCATTCAAGGGTAAGTGCGTGCATGCGAGTGTGCGTGCGCGTGCGTGTGTGTGTTGAATTATAGGGAATATTTGTTATGTTTGTTACAGTATTTTTTAAAAAAAATTTGCCGACATTTTCAGTTTCCTCCCAGACAGTCATAAAGTTTGCACCAGTACTATCCTTGTCTTCGGAAGAAACTGTGCACATCTTAATTTACATCAGCGGTATAGGACGAAACAATTTTAAAGTATTTAGTACACATCTTCTGTCTGGGATTCGAACAAACCAATACCATTTACATGTATATTGAAGAGCTTTTTTCGGTGTGCTGAGTATCCTGTAAATTATTTAATAAATATTATGTTTTCTTTAATTAGAAGAAACTAATGTACTCTTAAACAGAAAATAAAATCGCTCAGTAGTCACAATTAGTAATCAATTCATGTTTGTTTTATGGCAGTTTAAACCGCTCACGTAGTTTAAAAATAACACCCATTAAAAGAATTTCAAGTGTTTTCATTTTTGAGTAGAGCAATTGACACACGTGGGCGTAATTATCCCTATGAGTAACGCATTGAGGAAGTTCATGTTTTTTATGTTTTCGTTCAAGTGTAATTCTGATATTCTAAAGCTATATTTGCTAAGAGAAGCGAGGAAAAATAAAATCACCTTCCCGCTTCCTTGTGTGTTAAAGATCATTGCACTGTCATACTCGTCTGACACGTGATGTTTTCAAAGACGCCATAAAGTTTAAAGAGGATGACATTAATTTGCAAAAAGTCAAAGGCGTGATTGGTTGTAATTGTCTTAACAACCTTTGCGGAAAAAAATGCAGGAAGTGTTAAACGCCAATAATGATGAAACATTTCGTGCAAAAACATGTGTATGACATTTCATTTTGAAAGTTTCCATAACTGAGCGATTAAGATAGCTTGTTTTTAGCTCACCTTGCACAAAGTGCAGGTGAGCTTTTAGGATGGCCAACCAAATGGCGTCCGTCGTCAGTCGTCCGTCCACATTTTAAATATTCAAAGTACATCTTCTATGATACCGCAAGGCCAGTGTTAATGAAACTTGGCAGGAATACTCTTTGTATGAAGCTCTATCAAGATTGTTCAAAGAATTCCATTTCATGCAGAACTCTGGTTGCCATGGCAACCGAAAAAAAAATCTTTAAATATCTTCTTTTAAAGAACCGTTAGAGCTAGAGCTTAGATATTTGGCATGAAACATCTTCTAATGAGTGTCTACCAAGTTTGTTCAAATAAAAGCCCTAGGGTCAAAATTGGCCCGGCCCCAGGGGGTCATTGATTTTCCCTATATGCATATAGTAAAAACTTAAAAAATCTTCTTTTAAAGAACCCAAAGAGCTAGAGCTAAGACATTTGGCACGAAACATCTTCTAGTGAGTGTCTACCAAGTTTGTTCAAATAAAAGCCCTGGGGTCAAAATTGGCCCCGCCCCGGGGGTCATTGATTTTCCCTATATGCATATAGTAAAAACTTAAAAAAAATCTTCTTTTAAAGAACCGTAAGAGCTAGAGCTTAGATATTTGACATGAAACATCTTCTAGTGAATGTCTACCAAGTTTGTTCAAATAAAAGCCCTGGGGTCAAAATTGGCCCCACCCCAGGGGGTCATTGTTTTTCTCTTTATGAACTTAATATATCTTCTTTTAAAAAACCCTAAGAGCTAGAGCTAAGATATTTAGCATGAAACATTTACTAATGAATGTCTACCAAGTTTGTTCAAATAAGGGCCCTGTGATTAAAATTGGCCCCGCCCCAGGGTCATTGATTTTCCTTATATGTGTAATTAGTAAAAACTTAAAAAATCTTCTTTTAAAAAACCAAAAGAGCTAGATTTAAGTATCTAAACATGAAATATCTTCTAGTGAGTGTCTACCAAGTTTGTTCAAATAAAAGCCCTAGGGTCAAAATTGGCCCCGCCCCGGGGGTCATTGATTTTCCCTATATGCATATAGTAAAAACTTAAAAAATCTTCTTTTAAAGAACCGTAAGAGCTAGAGCTTAGATATTTGGCATGAAACATCTTCTAGTGAATGTCTACCAAGTTTGTTCAAATAAAAGCCCTGGGGTCAAAATTGGCCCCGCCCCAGGGGGTCATAGATTTTCCCTATATGCATATAGTAAAAACTTAAAAAATCTTCTTTTAAAGAACCCAAAGAGCTAGAGCTAAGATATTTATCATGAAACATCTTCTAATGAGTGTCTACCAAGTTTGTTCAAATAAAAGCCCTGGGGTCAAAATTGGCCCCGCCCCAGGGGGTCATTGATTTTCCCTATATGCATATAGTAAAAACTTAAAAAATCTTCTTTTAAAGAACTCAAAGAGCTAGAGCTAAGATATTTAGCATGAAACATGTTCTAATGGGTGTCTACCAAGTATGTTCAAATAAAAGCCCTGGGGTCAAAACTGGCCCGCCCCGGGGGTCATTGATTTTCCTTATATGTGTATAGCAAAAACTTAAAAATCTTCTTTGAAAAAACCCAAATAGCTTGAGTTTAGATATTATACATGAAACAGTTTTAAGTAAATATCTACAAAGTTTGTTCAAATAAAAGCCCGGGGGTCAAAACTGGCCCTGCGCCAGGGGTGTCATTGTTTTTAACTATATGTGTATAGTAAAAACTTAAAAAATCTTCTTTTAAAAAACCCAATGAGCTAGAACTTAGATGTTTTAGCATGAAACATCTTCTTATGGGTGTCTACCAAGTCTGTTCAAATAAAAGCCCTTGGGTAAAAATTGGCCCGGGGGGGGGGGGGGCTATATACAGGTGAGCGACCTCAGGGCCATCATGACCCTCTTGTTTTACTCTTGAGCTTATAATAGGTAAATTTCCCAAAAGAGGCAAAATAAATTCGTTTGGGGAAGCTCTTAGTCCACCTGCAAGGAATTTAAAAGAAGAATCAATTAGTTGTCATCTCATACATGAAATGCACAGATGGTCACGTTGGGTATAGTTATATTGGCGACATCATGGACATTGCTAAATTAAGATAGAACCACATATAACAGGTGACTTATATGTTAGTCTCCCTTCCCTTAATATTGCCCTTTCCTAAACGGTGACCCACTGGGTTCCTTTCCGGTGGTCACTGTTACTCGATATATTATGTTTCGACATGTTGATTCATACACATGTATATGTTAATGATATAGCTTTGTCTGTATGTTTTAGGTATAGGGTTAGCGTCGTTCTTGGTGATATTCCAGGCTAACTTGTATTATATCGTTATTCTGGCATGGGCTTTGTACTATTTGTTCATGTCGTTTACATCCGTGTTACCATGGTCACACTGCAACAATGAATGGAATTCAGAAAAGTAAGCAATGCTTCTACTTTAAATGGTTATTGATAATTTATAGTGTTTCTGGACGTCAGTTTGATTATTGACCATTTCTGTCTTCACGAATAAGATATATTTTATAATTTTTGTTTTCTTCATAATTGATGAACCATATATAAACATATGTAATTTAATATTTCTAACGATGTAAATGTTACGAACGGCTTAGTTATACGAACCGAACAATAAATACACTCATATCGGCGACGTTGAAACCGCCACTTTGCAATATGTTTAAACTGCTGAACGGAATTCCGTTGAATGCATTTATTCTATACATTTATATAATTCTGCAGTATTACTTTCATAATACATGATTGCTCAGCTGTAAATGGTGCACAACATGTTACATCGGCAATCCATAGTTTGTTCGCAAATGGTATCATCATCTATAGAATACACAACATGCAAGATGAACGTTAGCGTTTATCGTCACCAATTTGCCAGACATTAGTAATTGTTGATATACTTGTACCAAAATAATATGCACGTCAATCATCATCGATATAGATAATTTGTACTAAATGCCAACTGTTGTTTTATTTTTGTTTCTATTTGTTCTACTTCACAGTTGCTTTGTTGGTAAATCGTCACCGCCTGCAATTATTCCCACCAATCAAACGTTGGTATATCTTGCTAATTCAACTGGAGTGGTAAATGGTACAGTGATCCCCGAAGTAGTGACGTCGAATAAAACGGTTGACTCTGTCATAGAGTTCTGGGAGTATGTTATTTATTATGTCATTAATGTTAATTTTAACCTTTAACGAACTGAATATGTGTCATGGTTTTGGCATGCTCTAAGTTTCGAACAGTCCATTAGAAGTTTAAAAGATTTCAATAATGAAATGCACAAGAACTAAGCAACGAGCTTGATAGAGTCAGGTCAGACTGCAAGGAGTCCAGGCTGGCCTGGCTCTATATTGGTGGAAATACTTGAAGCTAATCACAGATAAAGAGTGTATTATATTATTTACAAAGATTTTTGACAAGTTAAATGACCCTATATAAACGTTTGTTGCATCCTTTTTTCGAGAAAAAAAAAGAGATTTTTTCATAAATTGACAGCAGCCGCGTATATTAAATTGTATAAGCTTCACGTGTATCCAATGAAAAGCGGTTACAAACGTGCAGTATTATAAAACAATGAATAAAACCTAACAAAAGCAATAATATATAATCAAGCACAATGTAAGCAAATAATCACGAAAGGGTAAAACGCCTTTTTCTTTGCGATATGATATCCTTTGTTACATTTGCAAACCATATACAGTCAGGAAATATTTTTGTAGATATGCAAGTATCGCGTATACGTCTAGTAAAATGAGCGTTGGGTTACATGCGTTATTTTTCAATCCGGTACATAAATACTGCTCACTTGTTGCAAAATTATCATGCATGTTTCTGTGACGAGGTACATGTATTTGGCAAACATTTAAATACCATTTGACAAAATATATATGAGCCGCGTCACGACAAAACCAACATAGTGCGTTTGCGACCAGCATGGATCCAGACCAGCCTGCGCTTCCGCGCAGTCTGATCAGGATCCATGCTGTTCGCTATCAGTTTCTCTTCTTGTTAAAGAGTTGGTAAGCGAACAGCATGGATCCTGACCAGACTGCGCGGATGCGCAGGTTGGTCTGGATCCATGCTGGTCGCAAACCCATTATGTTGGTTTTGTCGTGACGCGGCTCATATGTTTTTGAAGACAGTTTTATAATTCATGTATAGGTTTTAAATTACAATCAAACTGTTGACAGGAGAAAGATATTGCATATATCGAGTGGCATTGAGGAGCCAGGAAGTATCGTGTGGGAACTCGCCTTGTGCCTGCTAGCTGTATGGGTACTAGTCTATTTCTGTGTCTGGAGAGGCGTAAAATGGACCGGGAAGGTATAGAACAATTATGCTCTACTGAATAATATTTTCTTTCAAATTTCAGTTACTCTGATGTATAATTATACACTTGCAATGTAATGATATGCATGATATGATGCTAGATTATGTAAAAATGTAGTTTAATCAGCTAGGAAAAGTTTCACATACTGTAGATATTGTACAATTAAATCCTGACGGTTTAGAGAGGTACAACTTATAATCTTCATATTTAAGATCAACACTTCCGTTATTGCAAACTTACAAGAAAAACAAATCATCAATGAAATAGAGAAACCTATTTGTACTAAGGAATGTTTTGAGATTTTTTTTTTGACTAAGCAGCTATATTTTAAATATAATCATTAAATATGAACAAATTTGAAAATGAAATTCTTTTTTACCTCTTGATATATCAAATATCAAATATGAAAAAAAAAACAACAACAAAAACAACAAATAATCGGATACACCTTTACGGATAGAAAGGGAAACGAGTATGCATATCATGTAGGCAACAAAATGCCTGCAGTTATCATCCTTATATCATGGTCGAATATTACGTCATGAAAGTACTGCAAAGTTTCATGCTTGTTAAGCTGTCTGTGTCATATGTATTGTTTTTTCTTTAGTCTGTCCGAACATACACTTATCTTTGGTAGCTGATTTGGAACGCTTTGGGCGTCGTGTTGGCGCTAGCGACAACAGGACAAGCGTCAAACGGCGCCTTGTCGGACTTTCGTCTTGTCGTCCTGTCGCCAAACGGCGCGTTGTCGTGCGGCGTGTTGTCGCGATGTCACATTGTCGCTCGGTTCAAATCAAAGGATTAGCTTATCAGCCAAGCGACAAGGCGACATCGCTTGGCGTGCTTTGCTAGAGGCAGGACGACAAAACGACAGTGCGACAACGCGCCGTTTGGCGCTTTGTCGTAGACGAAAAGGCGATAACGATATAGGTTGCGTTGTCGCTATTGCATCGCAACGCACAATGTACCAAATCAGCCACCATACTTATCACAGATTGTTGCCCCTATGAAAACATATGATACAATGTCCTTTTCAGGTTGTTTATTTCACAGCATTATTTCCATACGTTATTCTTACAATATTGCTGATACGCGGAGTGACACTAGAGGGCGCTGGAAATGGTATCTATTTCTTTCTGAAACCAGACTTTTCCAGATTGGCTGATCCCCAGGTAGAGCTGCCCAAAATTGTTTTTATCTTTTTTTTATATTCGGTTGGTACGTGAAAATGGCTTATTTGTGAACTTAACTAAAAGTGACGTCTTTTGATATGACATAGTATGGCCGGAATCTTTTACAATTTCCATCCTAAATTTTATTAATACTTCAAGCCGTGTTACTGTAATGATTGCACGAATCTTTTGTTGGGCTCCAAATGTTGAAACGGGTGAGAAAACAACAACAAACAAACATTTTGCCGTCTAACCGGGATTTGAACGCTGTTGAATAATATCTCTACCGTCCGGCTGAGGCTATCCGGTCGCTTGAGTTGTCACCGCTGTGGTCTGTTAACATCTTGAACTATTTTGTTTTAGGTATGGATTGATGGAGGTACTCAGATATTGTACTCATTTGACCTGGCCATTGGTGCAGTCATTACTCTTGGTAGTTATAGTAAATTTAATAACAACTTCTACAGGTATATATCATGCATCATTTCTTAAATACTTATACACTTATATACCAACATATATCACGTTCATGTATCATGTAAACGTTAAAATAAGAAACAACCTATGATTTTATATATCATAAATTACAACAATAATCATTTAATTTATGTTAGATTAATACATGTTGGCAATTCAAATTTCAAAAAGAAAAAAGGGAAATGAAGCAAAAAAGAAATGTTAATAAATTTATTTGTATATACATGTACATGTATCCATATTAAGTGCCATGCATCCTTTTATGCATTGTCACCACCCCCGCCATCAAATTTATTCTCTTAAAAATACAATTTTTATTAAAAGTTTCTCTTATTACATGCACGACCGTTATTTCAATTTTGTTATTAGTAAAATGGTCACCTGTTATTGAATATTGTCTTCTTTAGGGATACATTTATCATAACAAGTATAAATTGTGGCACGAGTATATATGCTGGATTTGCTGTATTCTCTGTGCTTGGTTTTATGGCGCACGAACAGAATGTGACCGTCGCAGAAGTGGCTACATCAGGTACGAAACCATACACCATACAGATGTTAATACTAGGGAAGGCCGATGGTGACATTTCAACCTCTTGAATTCTCGGGTTCATTTTCATGAATTCACGATTTCAACGCCATGAATTCACGATTTCACCATACAGAATTCGTGAAGTTCAATACACGCATTCATAAAGTTGAATTCATGAAGTTGAAATCGTGATTCGTGAAGTTAAAATCGTGAATTCATGAAGTTGAAATCGTGTATTCGAGAATTCCGTATATTGTAAACGTGAAAATTATCAACTCACGAAGATGTATTCGGGAATTCGTGAAGTTGAAATGTCTCCACCGGTCTTTCGTACAAAACATCGCACATGTACTGTTTAATATTCACCAATCTGTTGTGTACTAATTATTGTTCATGAGAATTGACCATACCATTAGGTATTCCTTCATAATGATGAGTTTCTTTATGTAGAAGCACAGATACCAACATGCGTCCAAATACGAATACTTGTATGACCTTTTTAAACAACGAACGCGTATGTACTTAACTGAAGTCAAAAGAATAAAATAAGGCCTATAGACTTGCTGTAATTTCAAGACTGATTCAGATGCTAAAACTTTTCTCTTAATTTATATGTGGTTACACTTTGTTGAATTGAATTTACAAACTTTAAAGCGGTGTTCATATCAGAACATTGTTATGGTTGACAGCATGTTTTGTTGTACACAACGTCGGTTGAGTATTTTGTGAAGCATGTTTTCAAACTAGTGTGCTGATACAAGTTGTCCGAAAATTGATTTTGTATGATACAATCAAATTCAATTAAAATTTTATTGCATTTTGTTTCGGCAAACCATTGTTTTTGATAATACATACACAACATAATTATAGTAATCACTTGAAATATGACATACACACAAAACAAATATACAGTGTTCACAAAAAATGCAGAAACATATCAAATCTAAAATTCTTCTATTGCTTCTGAAACAATAGTTCTTAATGCGAATGCTTTATCTCGAAATATACATAATTGTTATATTCTGATTTTATTTCTTGATAATATAACATATAAAATATTATGTAATAGAACTTATTCAAAATTGGAAAGGATAGATGCTTTATGAAATACTTTCTTAGTTCTGAACATAAGGGTAAACATTATAAAAAGTGATATTCTGATTCAACATTTCAATACGAACATGATTTACATCAAGGTTATTTCTATCAGTTCTTAAGTACAGTAAACTCCGCTTATAACGAACTCCATTGGGACATTCAAAATTTGTATCTCTATTTCTAAGGAATGAGAACATAATACAAAACATGATAGTTGTTGACGTAAATTGTCATACTTTACAATATAAAATATAATAATGTTAAAGGTCCTGGGTTGGTGTTTCTCACGTACCCGAAGGCCATTACCCAGCTTCCCGTGGCACCACTTTGGTCAGTTCTATTCTTTATTATGGTCATATTGGTTGGTTTGGATAGTCAGGTAAACTTTATTATTTCAATGTATGTAAGGTATATAACTTAATACTTTATTAGCTCCAATATTGTGTCAATTATATGAAATAGATAAGTTATTGTATCGGCTTAAATGAACTTTGGCATAGATAAGTTTAAATGTTGTTTTTTTTTTCAACAATAATTGCATTCACATTTTGCATGTTAAAAAAACACCCTAAGTTTTGTAAAATTCATTTTACACTGCTAGAACATAAAAATGAATGCTTGAAGGCAATGCTCTTATTCAAAGTTAAAGATTTTTTAAAAATCTTTAAAGATATTTTATTTTAACCATGTTTTGATTATGCAAATCTGATTGAGATTTTCTTATAGTTTTCATTTTGTTTCATACTTTCGTATAGTTTGTAGCAGTTGAGGGTTTCTTGACACCGGTATTTGATGGGTTTCCGGACGTGTTGTATGGAATGAAGAACAGAATGATAGTGACAGCTATCTATTGTGCCGCTTCCTTTTTAATTGGTCTTTGCATGGTTACAGAGGTAGCTACACACTCTTAAAGTTTGTCTTGTGTCTCGGTTGTAAGAAAAGGCTCCCTATTCATCTAAGCGTTACAATTTTGTTTTTCATGCATTGAATATAATTGTTTCCATTATTTTACATCATTGATTAAGTACAAGTACATTTCAAACAGAGGTAAGGAGGCGTGAAGTATTTTGATTTATTCATTTGTCTAATAAAGAGTCTATGCCTATCTATATGGATATAGTTTACTCACAAGTGATCTCCTTGATTCAGCAGTAAAAGGCACACACTAAACACGATAGTTTTGAGAATGTTTGATATACATTGGCTTAATTATTTGTTTTTTAATTCCATTGTATACATTTAATTTCTAATAGAAACTGATTTATTGGATGACTTTCTTTCTTGGGATAAAACGTTTAGTGAGAACAATTGTACTTATCTTCCACTTTAATTTAATATTATCACTTCACAAATGATAATAGCTTTCAACTGAAACAAAATTTAATTTCAAATGAAAAACATGTATTCAAGTTATGAGTAGACCCTCTATACTATATTTATACGAATAATTTGAAAATATTTTGGCCAAGTTGTTGAGGTGTCAATTACCCTGGCCCTACCACGCCTCCTTGTATGACAACAATACTGGCTAATTCTAAAAAAAGGCAAATAAGCTTCACACTGTTTTCAATCTCACTTAGATACTAATAGTCAATTATGCTTAAAAAAGAATGTGCTTGTTTTAAAACGTGAACATACTGAATAAATGTTTTAAAATGTTTTGAGGTGTTGATATTTCATTATAAAGTTCAATGATCGTGTTGCAGTTGTTTAATTGGATATGTTGATATTTTATTGAAGGGTGGAATGTTCGTGTTACCATTGTTTAATTTGGTATGTTGATATTTTATTGAAGGGTGGAATGTTCGTGTTCCAGCTGTTTGATTTCTACTGCTCTAGCGGACTTGTCTTATTGTGGATTGTCTTCTTCCAAGCCATAGCTGTTAGCTGGATATTTGGTATATATTTTTCTTGCAGTATCATAAGAATTGATCGATGAATTCAACACATGTTTCATGAAAAGTTTGTGTTCAGTGCATTAAAAACAAGAGCAATCCAATTCCTTCACACCATAAACAGGAAAACTACTTTATTGAAGGACAACTGTTAGTTTCTGTTTACAATAGAGGGCGACTGGTTAAAAAGTCTTTGAATCTATCACCACATTTCTATTGAACAAACATATTTTACATTATTCTTCTAATCGCCTAAGTGAATAAATAAAATGTTAAGTAAAATGAATTGATAACAGTAATTAAAATGTTTTCTATTTTGTATGGATTTTCATTAACGTCATTTCATGTTACAGGATCATCTAAGTTCCAAGATTCTATCGAGCTAATGATCGGAAGACGCTTGCCACATTATTTCATAATATGCTGGAAATACATCACACCTGTGGTTTCTGCAGTAAGCTATTTTTACTTCTTTGGTTGGGTTTAATGTCGCTCAGTATATGTCATTTGGCGACTATCCAGCTACCTGGATATCTTTGTCACATAAAGAATTCGAAGACATTGGCGCGACTCGAACCTACAGCTGTAAAGGCAAGTGGTTTGAAGTCAATGACCTTAATCACTCGGCCTGGACGCCCGACTTGTATAGTGTAAACAATGTTGAAATGGACAAAGGTTGCAGAAGTGAAAAAAATGAAATATTAGAGCTAGTATAAAACATGACATGTGCAAATAATTCCCTACATTAACCCTCATCCGTAAGTGAGTGATATAAACAAGATGGAGAAAAATCAGTTAAGCAAGAGAAATGTATTAATTTCTATCTCTTTATGCATATCAATCATAAAAATCGTCAGATGGTTTGCGGATATTTGTAAAATTTTCTAGAGTTATAATATTTCATCTATCATTTGCGTCAGTGTGTATATCCTTAACACAGCAAAGTGAAAATGACGCAGTAACTGTGCAATGCACAGATGCGACCTATAACCTGTCTTATTATCATTATCAGAGTAGGTTTCTTTAAAAATTTATGCCGACTTTGTGCCATATATGACCGTATATGACCGAAACGAGCAACACGGTAAGTAAAACCAAATATATCTTACAGTTAGTCAAATAGTAAGACATGAATTAGTGCATATAACGCCAGATCTAGAGACATTCTACTGACTTAAGTTTATTCAGACTGCAATAAAAAGACTCAATCAAACTGAGCCTGCAAAATTTTCAAATTTGCTATTTTGGGCGTTCTTTAGGGATAACATCAAAAATATCCAGGAAAAATGTTTGATTTTCAAGATCATTCGTGAGAACCAATAGGAAGATGACTTTTGTGCGTCGTTTGAAATTTATTTATACAATATCGCATCCATTACATTATTGTTTTCGTTATTTTGTATACTCAAGACATTTTAGACTACTCGTGTTATACAATTGTGAAATAAGCAGACATGATTCGATTGAGCCACTTTTTTATGAGATTAACGCCCATGTCGTGAATGATGCGCCGAGACAGCACTTGTACCATCATAAAAGGTGTCTGAATAACATTTTGTATACTTCCTTTTAGTCTTATATGGCAATGTAGATCGTCAACCAACATTTAAAAGAAAAAAACACACAACAAACAACAAAACAACAACAAAAACAACAACAAAAGAAACAAATAAAAAGAACAATAAAAAAGTTTATATGCGTTAAGATGTTAATTAATACCTAAGCGAGTCAACAAGCACATCCAATATGGTGTTAAGTTGTCATTATCACGATGAAATCACTTTCCTTGTAAAGTGGGTTAAAATATAATGCCTTATCAGCCATGTGGGGTAATTTATTTCTTTAAATTTGAAACTAAATTAAAAAGTGTATTGGTCCTTTTACCTTTCGCATTGCTCGTAACGGCCATATATCGCACAGATTCAGCGTAGACTTTGCTCAATTTCTGCCTTATTTTCCTGTCCTGCGTTACGGGACATACACAGTGTGCTTGCTTATCTGGGAGTTGCTTTAACATCTTTAAACTTCTCCGTTTTTATTTGTCTGTTTTTAGGGAATATTTCTGTTTATGGTGTTTGATTTTGTACCACTGACGTATGACCGTAATTATGTGTATCCAGGCTGGGCACAGGGTATTGGAGTATGCATGGGACTGGTGTCCATGATATGTATCCCCATAGCGTTTGGTCACTCCATGTACAAAGCTGAAGGAACGCTCCGCGAGGTACGTATAAAGTTATTTTCTTCCACTGTATGCCAATAGGTATCACATATAACGAGACTGTTCCTCATTTTGGTATTAAGTTATTTTAAATAGATGTTTTCAAATATAATATTCCTTTACAGCCATACAAAAACAACACTCGTGGTCATTTATTACAGTAAAACATATTTTTGGTTAAAGTTACTTTATAAAAATGCAGACTATTTTTGTTCAGTTATAATATATGTTCATGTCGGTTTATTTATTATGTCATGTAAATATGAATGTAAGATTCATTTTGCAAACAGAAGGTAAATCACCGTACGTTATGTAGCAAAAGTACCGGACAATTTTCAATCATAATTATGGCATCGTCTGCCATTTTGCACGTTTATGGTATAAAATATTTATTTTGTTGACATTTATCAATGATAAATTTATGAATGGTCAATATTTGATTTAATTTATTTTTATTTTCAAATTGCAGAGGTGGCAAGCAGTAATTAAACCAATTCTTGAAAGTCACCAAATCAAACATGCTGATACCGATAAAGGACCGGCAAATGACACCAACATCGAAAGGGATGGTACTAAACTCATTGATGGGATGCCAGCAAAAGACGAGAATTTGGAACCAGCATTAAATGACAAAAATGAAGTACCATCAAAAGATGGTAACTTAGTATTAGCTAAAGACATAAATGAAGTACCAGCAAAAGATGATAACTTGGACTTTGCTAAAGACTTGACTGAAGAATCAGCAAAGATTGTTTAAATCTAACACAAGACACATAACTGTGTTCTTTGTTCGCGACAAATGCTTTTTTTATTTAGAATGCTTTTTATAGCTCACCAGAACCGAAGGTCTTCCGTCAGTCCGTCGTCATGCGTCAACAATCGCCTCCTTCCCGGAAACTGCTGGGCAGATTTACTTCAAATTTGGTCTGTAGCATACTCGCGACAGTCACACTAAAATTTGCAGATGTCATTTCAATTGGCCCCTTTAAGATGTCAACAGGGCTTAAAATAGAAAACCCTTTAAACATCTTCTACTACAGAACTAATGGATGGATGATCACCAAACTTTGTCTGTAGCATTTTTTGGAAGTCTTTAATCAAGTTTGCTCATATTAATTTGATTGGCCCCTTTTAGGGGGTCTCTAGGGCTAAAAATAGAAAAACCTTTAGACATTTTCTTCTACAGAACTAATGGATGGATGATTTCCAAACTTTGTAGCATTCTTGGGTAGTCTTTTATCAAGCTTGTTATATTATTTGATTGGCCCCTTTTAGGGGCCGCTAAAGCTAAAAAGAGAAAAACCTTTAAACGTCTATTTCTACAGAACTAAAGGATTGATGATCGCCAAACTTTGTCTGTAGCATTTTTAGGTAGTCTATAATCAAGTTTGCCCATATTTATTTGATTGGCCCCATTTAGGGGCAACTAAAGCTATAAATAGAAAAAAAACATTTGAACATCATCTCAAATTTACTATTAGAAAATATTGACAATGGATAATTTCCAACACTGAAAAGCAGTTGTTTCTGGTGAGCGACTCAGGGCTATCATGGCCTTCTTGTATAATACACACCGTTATTATTCATATATTCATATATTCATTTAACATAAAGCTGCAATAAAATACCGTAAACTTAGCAGGATTTTCTTTCACATTCTAGTAATTTGATCAAAAGACGCCAACGTCCACAAAGATTTTAATTTAATGACGATGATAGATTTCCAGCAACATTCTAAAATTTGTAAGACATAAATCAAGTTCAAACAAAGAATTATAACTTGAAAGTTACTTATGGCAGAAATTGAGTATCAGCAAAGAGTTTTAGCTTGCAGTCGCAAACTGCAAACTGTGTTTGACTCTTTAACTTGGTTCTTGAACAAGAGATTCAAAAGCTTTCTCTGATCGCAATCTTTGCCTTTTCTTAAGTTTAGATTACTTTTGACAATTCAAATCGTAATATGTTATATATTTTATATACAAGTACAATAAAATGCAATAAAATATGCGAGATTTTCTATCACATTAATCTAGTAAATTTCAATTAATATCCTCTAGAATCAAATAAATATGGAACCCCTAAAACATTCATACATTCACATACCGGTACTAGTCTGAGCTTTATCGTGATATTATTTGTTCATATTTATCTTCAATATTTCTCTTATGATATCCAGAACACATTTTTAACGGTATTTGGCATGGGAAAACACCACGTAATGTCGCAATTTGATGTTACCTAAAGACAAACCAGTAGACGGAGGAAAAGATGAACAAATGGGCAATGCCAAAACTATATCTCTAATTAAAATTTCAATATTAATGTGACAGTGACCTTAACCTGCTGACCTTAAATACAATAGAGTTCTGCTAACTTTATTTTGGAAAAGCATTTCATGAACTTTGGCTTAAATAATATTTATTTATTCTTCCATATTTTCAAACAAAATCTCAATACATAATAATTTCACCCAGGATTGAGTAAGAAGTGAACTTTTAAGGTAAAGAGTCAAATCAAATACTAGTTAATTTAAATGCACGTTTGGATGACCTTGAAGTACTGTCATATATTAAAAAAAATCATTTACCTACTACTAGGATACAATCTATGGAGTTTGATGGATAAAGGCCAAATGTTTCTTTTGTTGCTGAAAAGATCAACTAATATTCAAGGCGGTATGAACTTTATCTACAAAAACGATGCAGATCATCTGCCCAATAAGGGAAACCACTCTGTTTATAGGAATATACTAAAGAGTTGTCTATTCTGCGGTTGACTTATACAATTGTTGTTTTACGGTTCTGTCCTCATTTCCAACCTTGTTCAACATTTCAATCAAATTCAATGTAAAGCAGCATGGTTCGAACTTTTAACAGTCTGCTGACGATAAACAGAACGGTAATGTGTAAAATAAATTAAAATTACACGTACAAACTAAGGAGGAAGGTAAATTAATAATTTAAAATGGAAAACTAAACATTTCGATATAAAGAGTGACAATTTGTTAACACATGTCTTATTATCTTTTATAAATTTGGTTTGGTTTCAAGTCACACCGACAGGGAAAAGGTCTTATCTAAAGTTCCTGGTGGGATTGCAACACATATCGATGAGTGGAAAATTGGTTAAATTCAACGACTTGAAGCACTTGAACCCAAGCGCCGAAAAAAAAAATAACAAAGATTAAGTGAAGAATAATTTAAAGAATAATTTAAAAACACACCAAGTTTGATTATTAAGAATTGAAAGACATTTGGCTGTAGATTTAAGTGGTTTAATTTCCTTGCAATATTTAAACACAGAGCAAGCTTATGTATAAATAATCAACATTATTAATATGTATCGTATTCATGTCAAAGAATATAAAACCGGTGTTATAAATCAAAATTAAATAACGTCATGAAGACAGGTGGTGATTTGGTATCTTTGTTATATTTAGCTGTTGTAACATACAGTGTTACACAGTTCATCCTATTTCTGTATAATTATAATATGTCTACAACGTATAAATAATCTTTTCAGAAACGACATCTAATTAACGTTATGAGACATTGAGGTTATTTAAAGTTGATAATAAATACCACTATAAAACATTTTATGCATTGAATGTCAACGGTTATACCAGAGGTGTCATGAGAAGTAGATTATACAGCTATGTATTTGTCTGGCATAGATTATGAGAAAAACAACGTATGTGCTTGACACAGTCATTGAATTAAAGAAATCAGCTTTGGAGTCAATATTTCGGGTTAAATATTTTAATGTTACTCGATGGCATACCCGAGATGAATGTTTGTGATCATAAACATCTAATATTCATCACGCATTCGCCGTTTTTCGACAAGGTAAAACGGTTACAGCCGACCATGTGTTTGGCATGACGTCATTTGCGTGTGTTGACCACACTATAGTCTGTCCCATTAAAAATGGAAATGAACTTTTGCCTGGTGTGAAATAACAAAACGAGGTTGAATAAAAATTTAACTGTTTTTGTAAACTAAAAAAAAGTCACCCTCGAGATTTTTCAGGATTTTACTCTAAAATGTCTACTTTTCTTGTGAAAGCGAATTTTGATTTCTCTATGGAAAATCTCTGTTGTTTATTTTCCGTAGCCATTGCCGAAGTACTCTTCATTTGAAGATGAACGGGAGAAAGCACGTGTCATGTTTCTAAAATATACATGAGGTTCTCGGGGTCGTTTCATGATTATTTTACAAAGCTGGATCTACAAGATGTAACAGTTTAGTTGCAATGCATGATGAAAAACTTAAAAAAAAGAAAGAAAAATAAGCAACAAGAACACCGAGTCAAATGGATAAAATATCTAGAAATTGCACTTACTTTTAAGCTGAATAGAATTCCTATGAATTTCGGAATAGATATTTATAAACGTCCCTTCTGAAGATTCCTTCATTGCCAGTATCTATCCAGTTCCGTAGACCCGATTTTTTTCTACTTCGAAACTCCTAAATGACATGACTCCTACAGTACACTTATGATGATCCAGATTTTTTAAACTGTTAATCCGTCTCATTATTAAAACATTGTTCAATTTGTGGAGTTATCTGGGTTAGCAAATGAAATATGTAAATGAAACACATCATAATTCATTATGTTCCAAATCCATAATTCAAGAACGGCCCATCAATTTTAGTTGTCAACATCACAATGCTTATAACTCTTGAAAATGGATTCCAGACGAAACTTTATTACGTCAACAACAATTTACGAAATATATGACGTAACAAAAATGCCTCGCGATTCCAGTTGCGGCATTGACAGAGAGCGCCTAGGCATTATGTAACCTCAAACAGATAATTTTAGCGTTGAGATGAATTTGTCTTGATGGAATTTAAAATAATTTTTGTATACCCAGATTTTGCAACTTAACTGTAAAAATACACCTTCAATTCATATATGAATAATAAAACTTTTGATAACATTTAGATCATCTAGATAATTTTAATCACACTTAATGACATGAATCTACAACAGTACAATACTTCTTCCATTAATTACATAGTACATTCGTTTTGATTTTATGTTTTAAACTATTTTACATATTTTCAGAAATAATTTCCCTACATATAATCTCGTTTTTCATGACTTCTGTAAATCCTACTATTTTAGCTACAAAATATTACAATATGCCGTATTTTTCTCCCGCGAAAAATATGCTAGATCTATTGTATTTTCACAGAATATTTTTTAAATTTAATTTTAGGAAGGCTAAAATTATTGAGAAAGTCACTCGGTGTTTCTCTTTGACTCGATCTCCCTTCATATTAACATAATATTATATGTAACACTTTGAGTCTTATAAAAAACCACTTATTGTCGCTTATTTAACACTTCAATTCAATTTATTCAAACTTATTCTTAATAATATCAAATCAGTGAAATCACTGACATTTTGTTGAATTGTGAGACGGGAAGTTAAATTTGTATTTACAAACTTAAAGTGTATATAGGCCTACGTTTGATTGCTCAAACTAGAAAGCATGATATTATATATATATTCTTATAATTTAACATTTTCCTCGAACGCGAGTCTGTGTTCTCTCATTAGCCAGGGAGTTAGTTAAAGTAGACACTGTGGTAACAAGCAAACCAATTCTGAACATATAGTGAATCAGTTTTCCTTTCTATATATTTCTTGTCAGATTTGCATGATAAAGTAGTATTTGATGAAAGTTGAAACCTACGGAAAGTTTTAGCGCACGGACATCGCACCCGAAATAAGAAGGGTAACATTTCTTGTATCCCATCGAACCTGGTCAATTTAATTATTTTTGAATAGAAGTGATACATACTAGTGGACAGAATTCAGACAACTAAAGAATTGTGTAAATTAAACATTAATTAGCAAAGAACCATTTTTTATAGTCTTCTAGCTGGGTCATGTGGGGGTTACGTTCATTGAACGCCGCCTTTCCTTGTTGATATTGTTTATTATATTCTGTATAGCTAGTGTTCCCGCTCCCTACGACATGCTGCGGTATGGAAAGCTATCTAATCAAATCACTTCATTGTTCTTTTTTATCTTCAAAAATACGACAGTTTATCATGGTTATTAATTTAATCTTTGTGTGTAAGAATTTATAAAGCGGTTAGCGATATTTTAGCTTTAAATGATTTTAATTATTTTAATAATAGTTTGCTAGTAAAATTGCCTTTTTGACACCAACTTTGTTCCCATTTTTCATTTTAATGATAACATTTAGCTATTGATCAGTAAGTAAATAAATATAATCAAATTTTTATAATTAACGAGTACATTTCACCGTAATTGTGAGACGAACCCTAAATGACGTCTATATGGGCGCCGCCATTTTGAAATGGACGTCACGTCAGGTTACAACGTAAGTCAACGGGGAAAAATATAATTTTAACATTTTGACCATATTACTGACTTTATGAAAAAAATGAAAAACATGCCTAGAGATATTGACGTCAGGGTTAAGATGACATTAATTTAAATGATTTTACTATTATATTAAATAAAAAATGGAATGTTCAAATTTGATGGGACAGACTATAATAGCGTTATAGTACATGTATTTAAGCGTTCCAATGATTAAATGATTTTTGAAATTCTTCTTATTTTGGGTATATGCTTTATATCATATGATGCCGTATAGCTTCATAATTGACTTAAATTAATAAAATTATTATTAGATTTCAAAAGAAATTCGTAGAGATAGGCGTAAAATGAGAATAATCTATTGTATTTTAAAAGTACTAACACGTATAAAAACAAAGTGGTATTTTGTCTTACATACAAATACTAAATCGCTTGAACCGTATCATTGCCGAAAAACAGAAGCCGCAAATGATGGTTTTGGCCACAAAGTAACTGTTACAGTACACACTAAAGCTTTAAGTGACATTATGCTCATATTTTTATGGTCAAGTTGAGCTGAAATTACTATTTATTTCAAACAATTGACTTATAAAATGGTGATTAACCAACAGTTCATATTGGAAAATGTTTGGGATAAAATTTAAATCTGCCTAAAATATAAAAAGACTGCCCCACTCTTTTTATGAAATGAATGTTACCGGTAAATTCTAATGGATGTTAATGAAAATTACGTTTGAATCCATGCGTTGTTTCTTGTTAATGTGAAATAAATTTTGATATTAAAAGGAATTATGGCAAAATGAAAATTTATTTTGACATTCACTTGTTCACTCATTTATACCCTTGGATGGGCATAATGTCACTTTTAAAGATGTACGCCTCCAGATTCAGATAATTTTCATAAAAAATTTTGAAAAAGGATTTGAATGTATAATATTGTTAAATAACCAGAAGGAAGCAATTACACATTATCAATGGCACTACAACCCACGTGAATTACCAAAAAGTGGTCAAAATATGCATAAATAGCCCTAAATTCGTTAGAAACGCAGTAGAAATATAGTTGTAAATACTGAAAAATCAATATTAATTGAATCTTGAATCATTTTATTTTTTTCCTAAAATCATAGTACATATTTCTCAAGTTTGATTTTATTAAAATATTTTGACTCAGCTGGAGGCATGCAGCTTTAATTTGAGAAATATTTTTCTTTTGTAATGGGAGCTGAGTGGGCCTTTAAAATATAATTATTATAAAAACGATGGAAGAGAAATGAATAAAATCGGTTACTTGTGCAAAAGGAGTTCTTATAGATTTACATATATCTCTAGATCTAATTACTATTTAACTTGATCAGTGCCTCGTACATAAAACTGAATGCCTCCAAGTGAGCCAAATATTTCAAGAAAATCAAGCTTTGAGCCAAGAGTACTAAGATTGTTAGAAATGAAAAAAAAAAACCCATCAAAATTGAAGTAATGACTAACATATTACGTGCGATTATTGTCTGATTCTGCAGTATTTATCACCACATTTCTACTACGGTACTAACGCAATAAGATCTGTTTTCGAATATCTAGACTTCTTCCTGCAAATTTATGAAAATTTTTAAGTGCCGTCATCAATATATTAAATTTCTTTGTTCACTTCGCAATATTTAATGATAATTTATTTTCAACATTTTCGTAAAAATAGCCTGAATATATGACATGCTATGCTGATTTTAGTACATTTGTTACCAAAGCGGAATGCTTGCTTGTGGAACGTGGAAATAAATGGAAACCATGACATATATCTTCGTATACATCCTTTTTGTGAATAAATTAAATAATAAATAACAAACACAGACAGGATGCGAATATTCTACTTATCAGAAAACGTGTCATAAGTGCAGTTTATGTTCCTACATTTCCCGTTGATGCACGCTATGGTATTCGACAGATTTAATTATTCTAACACAAAATTATTTCTGTCACCAATTCGTTATCAAAAATAAACCACATGCATTTGTTTAAACCAAATGAAGATTTCCTGTAAAGTTAATTTACTAACCTTGATCCACATTTTTTTTAAAACGATAACACATAAATACTTAGCATGGTATTCTTTTATTTCCATCCAATATTTGAAGAGTTGAACAAAAAAAACAGCAAAATCTACGGGTGTTTCAAATAAAAGCCACAAGTTAAAATCCAAAAATAGGCTTAAACCCGGACAAAATATAGAATTTCGTGTACATGTTCATGTTCTGTTAATTTTTATAATAGTAACTTAGCAATGAGAAAATCGATGAGGCGAACTGTCATATTGTCAAGTATATTTTTTATATAAGACAACTTTGATATGATATAAGTTGTCCGGGTGCCTTTCCTCTAAACATTACAAAATAACCCGATTTAGATTAATCTACATATTACCGTAACAAATGAATCGCATTGTTATACTTAAAAATGGAGAAATACTTTACTTTTTACTTATTTTTAAAAATCTTTAAAAAAGACCAAGGAAAAAAAAGCAACTTTCACAAAATACACGTTTCGAGTGCGTCGCCAACAACGTTTAAACCTAGCATAACATTCACATTTCACTAAACAATGTCATTGATACAGCGTTACAGAGGATGACTAAGCAATTGTTGTCTAATTACGGGAGCACAAAAAGAGGAAATGATAAACAACTAGTCCTTAAGTTTAATATTCAATGGGAAGGAAAGCTTACACGTATTTTTAAGAACGCATATCCGGCTGGAAACTGATGAATCATTTGAAAGCTTCCCTATTTTAAAATAGTTTTACATATGACTAAACAATGTTGGAAAATACTCACTATTTTCATCAGCACATTGCTTCAACCTATAACGAATTAAGTAACGGATTCAGTGCTGTTTCATCAGTAATTATTTGTAAACATTAAATTTAAAAAGGCTTTTTTCTCGGGAAAATTGAAAGCGAACATTTTCTTAAAAAATTAAGGTGTAATATACAGATTTTCCTAATTTTAACTACGTTTGAAATATTTGTATTGATATGGCACTTAATGCTATGGTAGATATATTAGAAATTTGAAGGTATTTATAATATAATATAAAATAATAACAATTGTTGGTTGCGGTTAATAAAATAATAGATAATAATAAAATAAGTCAGTTATTTACGAACCGTTAAAAAAATCGTTTAACAACAGCAATACAGAGAAACGCATGACGCACACACAGCACATATTTGCAAATCAACGAACAGATATGTATATCATAATACAATGCATTCAATTGTATCATAGGAAAAAAAGCTTCTAATTTGGAATAGGTTTAACAATTGGTATACATATATTGACGACTTCATTCATGTTGAAAAGTCTATTAAATGTTTCATTCATTTAAGACTTGAAGGGAAATTGTCCCCCAAAACAAGTTCACCATTTGCTCTTGTGGTACTCTATTATGTGTTGGGTTCTCATCCAGTCCAAACATTTCATCCGACATATTCTTGTTGGAAACGTCTTTCCCAAGTTTTATTTTAACAATGATAAAAGACAACTATTACCCCCACGAGAGAAAATGCTTTCCATTCTTGCCATATTGAACTCAAAAAAAACCAATTGCTTTTTAAAACTGCTGAGATATAACAGCCCACGGTCTTCCTGCTATTCCCGATGGCTTTGTAGAAATATTGTCAGCAAATATTGATAACCTGGTAAAAGTCTTTATCATTAAACACAATTTAAACCTGTCCCTTCTAGTTTTGGCATCATAACGTCCAAAATAAAAACGTACATCTTCATTTGCATATGAAATAAAAGCACATACATAACCTTCTGGTTCGTTAAAGATTGATGTGCTGAATAACCAAAACTTATCTTTGTCATCCAAAGATATCTAAGTTTTATCTATTTCTTATAACACCACCAATAACAATGAAGGAATAGGAAACCTATAGAGCAAACTACAATAATATATGTAAGAAAAACAATCCAAATTAAAATTTATTACATTTTACAAATCGTTCCCATCCACCCTGCCCGAATGTTGTAAAATTAATGAACGAAATTTAGCATTTCATTCATGTTTACCATCCATTCCAAAAATCCTTTCTTTAAAAAACTAAGAAAAAGGTGTTTTTCGAGGTCAATTGTGAAGTTCTTTTTGGAACGTTTTTAAATTTTAATTCCAGCTTTCCCAAAAGAAGACGGACCAGTGGTAAAGTTAAATTTTTAAGTCAAATGTACAAATTATTCAAGGAAAAACGTCAATGCTAAAGACTAAATATTTTTCACACTAAGGTTAATTGGTCAGATGTACCATTTTTTTAAAAATCAGCGGATGTAGAAGGAAATAAGTTTTGACATAATTTCAAATTTACTTCGATAATTTTTCAAATATACCGGGTCCTAATATTTACTGAGAGAATTAACCCTAGAAAGTTCTCTTGAATCTGAAGATTTTCAACATTTCGAAAGCTATCAAAGAATTTTAGTCCAATGTGTGTACAATAATTGCGAGATAAGTTAAGATATTTAACATTTGGAAACGGGCCAAATGGCCCTATCCAGGAGTAAAAAATGTTACCTGAACCATCTAGGTACTCCATTTTATAGGGAGTTGGGTTTACTAACACACTAGTTACATTGTACTGCATGCCACAATTAGAAAATTCAAGTCTTTTCAATTCCGGTGGAGATGTGGGCAAAGTCTTGTTCATGTTTATATTATTGTCCTTGAAATATGGACATATTCTTTTCTTTTTACTTATGTTTATCAAAACGTCTGGTGCAGTATATGGACAATTTAAGTTGGTTAACACAAATTCGGACTCATCTATTTTAGGCTCTTCCATATACAAGTAAGGATCACGAGCATGATTTTGGAAATTCCCATAGCATTCTTCTAAATGTGCCAAACACCCAAGTTGAAATAAATATGGCCCAAAAGTAAACGTGTTGCCTTCTACACGTAAGATTTTCAAAGTGCTTGGCGTCAAAATTAAAGCATTTCTCTCTATTAATTGAATTCTATTATCATTTAAAACAAGTTCAGTTAAGTTCGTATTCCAAAGATAACACACATCTTGTAATTTTACTTGATTTCCAAGTCCAAATGTTGGATAAAGTTTAGAAAAATTCAATGATTTAATCTTTGTGAATTGTAAACTGTATGTAATATTCATTGCTTTACGAAATCCAAGATTCATGTTATGAGACAGATCTAAAACCTCTAAATTCAGAAGATGTTCAAACGCTCCAGCTTCAATATTTTGTATATCACAAGACGACAAATTCAATGTCCTTATATGAGTTAGGTGTTTAAATGTGTCATTTGAAACGTAAGGCATATTACAATTTCCATCCAACCCCGACAATGATACGCTACGTAATGATTGAATTTCACTGTAAGATACAGGAAAATATGTGTCTTTCAGTCCGTCGAAAATGAGCTGTTCAATATTAGTCAGATTCGAAAGGTCCGGATACATAGCACCGCCATAGTCCGAAACATTCAGATTTCCGTTTAGCATAAGCTTTTTTAAAGACTGCGGAAGTTTAAATGCTAGTGTCCCTCTTTTATTATAAACATCAAGCTGGTTATGGCTCATATCAAGCGTTTTTAGATGATCAAACTTTTTCAAAGAAACATCTTCGACATAGCTTATTTCGTTTCCTCTTAGATACAGACTTTTCAATGACTTACAGCCTTTTATGTCTTCCGTCCGAATATATTTGTATCCATTTTGTTCCAGGTGCAAAATATTAATCTTGACACCTTTACTGTCATCAATATAGTCACATACGTTCCGTAATGGTAACTCATTAGTTTTGGAACAATCCATAACATTTATATGTTCACAATGACATAATCCGTCAGGTCCACATGGAAGAGATGTTGAATCAACGATACTGATAATCCACGCGAGCAACAATACAAAGTTCATATTGTCAGCTTAGAAATTAAAGGATCAAACTTTTGAAAAAGTTGCAATGTCTTATTATATCTGCCTTTGTATAAATGTCGCTCAACATGCGATCAATAAAGGAAGCAAGTGTACATACTTGTATTTTGTTTGAGTATTTACCGAGTTCATAAACCAGTCAAGATTTGTTTCGCTTATGATGTAAAAGGAAGTTAAAGCAAGCTCTATTTGTGGTAGGCTTAACAGGTTTTTTTTTCTTCAAGATTCCCCATTGATACAATTCAATAGATAACAAAGTCTTTAACGTTTATGTACACAGACTTACATTCAACTCGTTATCACTTTAATATGTATATTAATATCATGTTTGTGTAACTTTACGGTTTAACTATGAAACTATGTATAACTATGAAACTATGATTATATAATTTCATTATCTAAAATATTTATTTTAGAACACAGTAATAATAAAATTTGAGTGTGGGTGTGTGACAATTAAAGTATTTCTCATAGAAGCCTGCACAAATTATCATGACCTTTCAAAAGTTTTAAAATACAATGCACATTTAGATAGATGAAAATTTAATATTCAAATTTTTTGACAACGAGTTGGAGATATGGAAGTTATTAATTTAGATGCAAGAACTCTGTCAAGAAGAGTAGAAATATATATTCTCTTAATTTAAAAGAAAGAGAGCATTTATAACACATTCGAATGAAATTTAACTTTAGAACGAGGAGAGTAAAATGAAGTGTATTCAGGTCAGATATTAGAAAAGGAGAAGCCTTAGATATTCAACAAATTATCAATTTCAAAAGTGTTCTTTTTTTCGTTTTATGCTCAATTTCGATATTTCGAATTTGTAATGCTTCTACCAAACACAGTATAGATGTAATGAAACGAATTAATAGCCCCTCCTCTATACTGAAGGACGGTGACAACACGTGCCTTTTATTTGAATATTTTCACATCGAAAGCGTGAAAAAAGTCAATAAACTTACACACATTCGTTTTAACATTTCTATTACCGTCAATTAGCCCAAAATTTTTTAAAATTTGGGTTAAAATTGTAAAAAAATTTTGAAATGAAAAAAATTTGGTTTCCCCAAAAAATTGAAAGTAACATTTTTGGGTTTTTAATTTTGGTAAAAAAAAAAGGGTGAAAAATAACACACCTCAGGGTTTCCTGAAAAATTTTTTTATTTTTTTTTAAAAACATTTTTTTCGTAGGGCCCTTTTAATTTGCTTCTGAAGTTTTTTAAATTTTTCATTTTTTTTTCAAAAAAAACTACTAAAAAATTAAAGGGTTTGGGCCCTTCTGAAAGCCAAAAAAAGGGCGTGGGAATTTAAAATATCCAAAATTAAAAAAATTGCACAAAAAAATTTTCTTAAAAAAAATTGTTAACTTTTTAATTTTTCAAAAAGGATTTTGGGCCAATTCAATTTCTTCAATAAAGTTTTCCAAAAAATTTAATAAAAACCCAAAATTTAAATTTTAAAAAATTTAATAATTTAATATTTTTATACTTTGTAAGGAAAAACCACTTTTGGGGCCTTTGTGGCCTGAGAGGTTGAGGTTAAAATTCTCCCCGGGGGCCCTTTAAAATACTTTCATGAAAGGGAAAGTTTTTCCGGGCTAGCTTTATGGAACGTCTAAATTCTTTTGTGGTTTTTCCCCCACTGCTTTAGCTAAAAAGTCGCTATATGAGTTTTCTACTTTACAGGCCCGACAAAAACCTGCCTGCTAAAAAGGGAAACCTCGTTTTTTTATTTTTTACGTTCTTGAGCTTTATGAGCCTTATAGTTTATGATAAAATTCAGGTGATCCCACTGCAATCATTTCTATTCAGTTTAAACTTTACAACATACTCGTATACATATACATGTTCTGTAACACTGATTTACAATGTATTTCATGAACCCTATGAATATATAAGGTATCAATAAATCAATAAAGTCATATTTGAAAGTTGAACTTACTTCTTGCGTGTGTATAACAACAAGAAAACAACGAGAACAACCATCAAAACAACAACAACAAAAAGCCATCGAACAAATGAAGAATAAAGGAATAAAACCCGAGAATAAGAAACACGGCAAAGAAGTATGAAAGGCACATTAAGAGTGACATGCTTATCAAATGGATGGGGAGTTGTGGTTGCTGTGACGATCATGGTGGTCAATACGATGATGATATTGGAATGATACTAATAATAAAGCTAATGATCAACTTCAATTATCTGCTTTATACTTCTATGTATCACATAATTCCCATTCTTAAATGACATGTCTACCATGAAGATATTATAAACTCTGACTTTCTATTAACGTTATACGACAGATCAGACGAATCAAGATTTAAAATCAATGATGCAAAGTTCAGAATTAATGAGTTTTGTGTAACTAGTTAAATAAAAGACATCAGCATGTGCATCTTAAGCACCTACGTCTGCCTTGAAAAGATAATGGAACATTTTTGGGATAAACAATAACCATTGTGTACTTGTAAAATGAAAATGTAATGTTTCAAAATGTGTTCTTATTATCTACCAACATTAACAGGTCGTACATAAAAGAGAATGAAAAAAGAAAAATAATAAAATAAAGCATGCAAGATTCGGGAATGGAACCCGAGTTGACTGATTCACAGTTAACCGGAAGAATTGACCTGCCATTTGTTCCCACTCCTGCTCTTATCAGGTGCCATTTTGGGCACATTTACGCTGGTCCATTTTTCGGGGAACATGTTCTGTGGCCGTCGTTATGTCTTTTCGATCGATCTTTGTTTTCCTTTTCTTCTCTTTTTACAACCATAATACACGTTTGTATTTCTTAAAAATGCATGTTTCACTGTTTATTACTGAAAAACATCATGGAAAAATATAGCTGAACTGAAGTTTTGAGAGGAAGAATCGCATATAAATCAGAAATGAAAAGAAATTAACGGATACTTCACTTAGAAAATATTGCAACGCATGGATGATGTCACATTATAAACAGAATTTGCTGGTGCTACTCAACGGAAAAGTAAAATGTTTCAAAACCATAAGAAATTTGTAGATTGTTTCAAAACCATAAGAAATTTGTTTACTTCAGTTCATACTTACTTTCATTTGAAAAGTGTAAAACTTACACTTTCAAAATATGAAAAACAAGATCAACATGGAAAGGCGGCGTTCAATGAACGCAAACCCCACACGACCCAATAACACTGGATCACCGGCAAGGAGCTAAGCAGCTCCCCTCCCCCAAAAAAGACAGGGTATAAGATAAAGCACGGACCGGATAATTGCTTTACTGGTACATAGATACAGGAAGACAATTTAATTTTAATTCATTACTATTTATGAACTTTTAAAACTTTTTATGGAATTTGCCTTCAAGCTACATTTAATAAAATATGTAAACATATTAATCCGTCGGCTTAAAAACCAAGCATTCTATAGTTTCGTTAACAGTTTAACAGTATCGGTGTAAATCTCATTAAAAATGAATATGAAGACTAATATAATTAGCTCGTGTATGCGCTATGTCATAAAGGTTAAATCAATTGCAACCATCACATCAAATAGGAGATATTCTTGTGCAAACCAACTTTTACCGTTTTAGTTTCACGGTGCATTAGCCCTGTCGTTTACAAAAAAGTAATCATCTCATGAAAAAATTGAATTTGTATGAAAACATCCGTAATATAATGCGGAAATATACCGTTAAATTTGGACTGCTACTAAAAATATTTGTTGATTTTCTATTGATGTACGGATGACCCAAAGGCGAAGTTTCTCATGCAAAAAGAAATTGTATTTCCGATTTTGCCACAATGAGGTTGTAGAATTTATGGCTTATAAAACTCATTTTGGTTGTCTGGACACAAAATAAGAACGGGAGTTGATATGAAATATTTAATTAACGAAATGTAGCTATTTATTTTATGCTTTTAAGTGGATTACTGATTTATCCGTGAAAATTATATTTGGTAATTTCACAGTGAAAATTATCAAAATATAATTTCACTCTTTTCAATGACGAAACTACTTTTTTTTAAAGATTTTCCCTAAGTGGTACCTTAATTTTATTTTTGCTGAAAATTCTGACAATGTCAGCCTGTTTAAAGAAAAAGCAAATCTGAAATTGATAAATAACTTAAATGTCAAAAGTAATAAAAAGAAGAACACGCAATTACTTCTATTCATTCAAATTCCAATCACCAAATTTCGTCTCTAAATTTTTTTGTTTCATTTTTACAGTCTGAAAAATACATTCCTTCCCCATGCAAAACTGCTCTTGATGACATTTGGGCATATTAAAGTATTCTACAAGCAATAACTGCCGTATGCTTTATGAAAAATTGAAAAGCATTGACAGCCATCACTCGAAGAATATGTAAAACAACCCAGCGTTCTTGAGCAAGCTTCCAAGTTTTCCATTTTCCTAGCTACTTTTCTGAATGTTTTCACATCTGTCAACACTTAATTTTTGCCTGTTACAATCCTCAAATAAGTTTTCTTTCTTTTAAAAAGGTGTATGACTAACAAATCAAAATTATATCCCTCTGAATCTTACACAATTATTTTCCTCCCATGAAATACACAACTTTAAAAAATGGCTGCCGCTTACAATTTACAAAGCCAGATCTAATATAAATTCGCAATAAGTAACAGAAATATGGATGGATGGCTGGACTTTTTCTCCTACAAGAATTGTTTGTTTTTATTATTAAAACAAGCGATCATTCATATTTTTTTAATAAAATGAATAAATATCAGCGTCATTTAACGTTGATTGGCGGACTTATTTTTCAGCTCAAGACTTCTTGTTTTTAATGAGAAATTCCGACTAAATGGGGCTCTCAATGGGGGAAACAGTTTTAATATTAACGTTAAAATTATGGAAATTTCGTTTTAACTTGTTTATAAGCATAAAATAAAAAGAAAATTTGTCTGTTTGTTGTGTAAGATGAAATTTTATTTCATCTCGTAAACTTTAAAAACAGTATTCTCACTCGTGGCTACACCACTCGTGAGAATACTGTTTTTAAATCCCACTCGATGAAATAAAATTTCATCTTACACACAAACAAACAAATATCCTCTATTTCTTTTTATGAAATTTATTTAATGTAGCTTTTAAATTACATTCCCTCCAGAATCTACAAATTCTAAATATTTGTATTTCAATCA